GATTTTTAATTCCAAGTCTGCTATTCTTTTCTTGGCGTTTTCTTGAACATCTTCCGCTATAGCTTGCTGGTATTCTAGAGATTATATTTTTAATTCATTAATCTTAACTTCTCTATTAATATAATTTCAGTTTTAAATTCCATAAGGCCCACCTATATTTCATTTTTATTTTTTATTTTATCAAATTGCCATTCAAAAGCTGTATCTAAACACTCATGTATTTCTGCAAGATTAACCGTGTTTTGGCTCTGTTTTAAGAGTTCCTTCTGTGGTGACGTGATTTATATTTCTTTAATTGTTTGAAATTAAATATCTGTTTCATTTTGTTGCTCTAACTCCTGTCTCTGTTGTTGCGACAAAGCAGAGGCAGATAATCTTTTTCTGGTCTAATTTCCAGCTCCCTCTCTTTCTCGCTCTTCGTAAGTTGTTTACCCTCCTGGGCCTTTTTTGCTGCCATGAGAGAGAGGAAAAAACAAAAACTTGTCTCTTATTTCTTCTCTTTCCTCTCCTTTCCCTTATCGTGAATCTTCCCGCTGGATTGTAGCTTTAGAGCTTCTTCCAATGTTGTATTTTACAGCTGTTTATGTTATGATTAATTGCTCTGGATTAAGTCTGGCTTTTGTTCTAATCTCTGGTCGTTTTGCTATTATTCCTTATCGTTTATTTTTATTTTATTTTTTGGTAATTTTAAGCTTCAAGCATTTACAAAGATAAGTTAGTACAGTCAAAGAAAAAAACAAGCAGAGAGGAAAAAAAATAAAAAATAATAATAATAATAATATTGTATGCCTTAATTGGTAATCCCTTTAAAGGTGTGTCCAAGTTTTGTTAGGCAACAGACAATTTTTCACGCTTGTTTATATTCTCTCTGTCATTTCTGTGTTTCTTTAGCAGGCATTTAATTTAGAGCAAGTCTGCCATCTGCATTTTGTATCTTTCTCTATCTTTTTTTTTTTTTTTTTTTCTTACTTTTCTTTTATGGCCTTCTATTATTTTGCCACCCCTTCACCATTTCACTTTCTTCCACCTTTATATTTATATTTGATTTATTTCCTTTACAACTGTCTTACTTTATCTCGCCATGCTATATATTATATGTGGAGCGCAAACAATAGAGAGAAAGGAAAGAGGGAGAAAAAAAAAGAAGTGCATTGGTAAGTCCACCTGGGACTCAACCAACGCTCTCACCGACACTGACACCTCCTCTGTCTCACTCGCTCCCCTTCCTCCAAATATTCTCGAGGCAGGCTTAACTCCAGGGACTCCAGCGTCTCTGTACGGTGTTACTAGTACCACTTCCCTCTTTCTGCGAGTGTTAAGAGTGTTAGGGGAATGCTTGGCGAAATATTTAATCCAAGATGTATACTAACATCAGACCGGCGGGTCTCCTCTACGAGCTCTCTCCTTCAGGGCATCAGCATTACCACGCTCGTGGACGTGCGCTCCTGTGCGTATGTCCTACGTTATCACTCCTCCCTCCACCGCCTTTTGTTTCCCCCCCCACATTGAGTGTCTTACACCTCCTTTGCGTATCTCTTACAACCAGGGCCTTAGGGGTGTGCGAGCTGTGCGGGTTGGAGAGTTCATTATTTCCTACCGGGGACTATGAAAGTAAAAGGGTGGGGCTTACCGAATGGTGGGGCGGAGCTTACTGCATTGATGAGTTGAGGCTAAAAGGCAGCCAGGGCAGAGCTTGCAGCTCACTGAAGCTTCAGGTACTTGCTGCAGAGAAAAGAATCCCTGCTTCCACTCCTCCCTTCTGGGTAATTGTGTGTGTGACTGTAGTGTGTGTGACTGTAACAGTGTGTCTCTGTGTGTGAGAGACTGTACTCTGTGTGTGACTGTCTAACTGTGTCTGCCTGTCTGCCTGTGTGTGTGTGTGTGTGTGAGTGTGAGTGAGAGAGATAGACTGTACTGTGTGTGTGCATGCACGTGCGTGTGTGTGAGAGCAAGAATGTACTCTGTGTGTGTGTGTGTGTGTGTGAGTGTCTGTAACAGTGACTGACTGTCTGCCTGTGTGTGTGTGTGTGTGTGTGTGTGAGAGAGAGAGAGACTGTACTCTGTGTGTGACTGTACTGTGTGTGTGAGTGTCTGTAACAGTGTCTGACTGTGTGCATGTGTGAGAGAGACTGGACTATGTGTGTGTCTGTGTGTGACACTGTACTCTGTGTGTGACTGTCTGCATGTGTGTGTGTGCGTGTGTGAGAGAGAGACTGTACTCTGTGTGTGACTGCAGCAGTGTCTGACTGTCTGCCTGTGTGTGTGTGTGTGTGTGAGACTGTACTCTGGGTGTAACTGTGTGTGTGTGAGACTAATCTGTGTGTGACTGTCTGTAGCAGTGTCTGTGTGTGTGTGTGTGTGTGTGTGTGTGTGTGTGTGTGTGTCAGAGGCTGTACTCTGTGTGTGACTGTCTGCCTGTGTAACTGTATCTGACTGTAACTGTGCCCAACTGTCTGCTTTTTTGTGTGACTGTAACCAGGGCCGGCCTTTGGGGGGTGTGAGCTGTGCGGCCACACAGGGTACCATGGCAACAGGGGTGCCAGGTGGCCAACACAGCTCGCAGTCGGTCACTGACAAACCTGCCCGAATTGGAATGCAGGAGGAGCGTGGAGGAGGAGCATCCCTGCTTCCATTCTGCCCTTCCAGGTAATTGTGTGTGACTGTAGTGTGTGTGACTGTAACAGTGTCTGTCTGTGTGTGTGAGAGAATGTACTCTGTGTGTGACTGTCTGTAACTGTGTGTGACTGTCTGCGTGTGTGTGTGTGTCTGTGTGAGAGAGAGAGAGACTGTACTTGGTGTGTGACTGTCTGCCTGTGTGTGTGTGTGTGTGTGTGTGAGCAACAATGTACCCTGTGTGTGTGAGACTGTACTCTGTGTGTCTGTAACAGTGACTGACTGCCTGTGTGTGGGTGCGTGTGTGTGAGAGAGAGACTGCACTCTGTGTGTGAGTGTCTGTAACAGTGTATGTCTGCCTGTGAGTGTGTGTGTGTGTGTGAGACTGTACTCTGTGTGTGACTGTGTGTGAGACTAATCTGTGTGTGACTGTCTGTAGCAGTGTCTGTCTGTCTGTGTGTGTGTGTGTGTGAGAGGAAGTACTCTGTGTGTGACTGTCTTCCTGTGTAACTGTATCTGACTGTAACTGTGCCCGACTGTCTGCCTTTTTGTGTGACTCTAACCAGGGCCGGCCTTTGGGGTGTGTGAGCTGTGCGGCCGCACAAGGTACTATGGCAACAGAGGTGCCAGGTGGCCAACACAGCTCACAGTCGGTCACTGACAAACCTGCCCGAATTGGAATGCAGGAGGAGCGTGAGGGCACGTCATCGGAAGGATCCGCTCAGTGGGTGTCAGGGCAGCAGGTGCTCTTCAGTCGGTGCGTCAGGCAGAGTGGGAAAAACTGACAGCTGGATCCAGGGAGCAGCAGCCTCTAATGTAAGTGTTTGTCCGTTTTGCTAGATATATATATATATATATATATATATATATATATATACTATTGCGTTTAATTGAAGTAGGCAGGTGGCTAGTGATAAAGGGGGCAGGGGGCTAGTTATAAACAGGGGGCAGGGGACGGGTGATAAAGTGGGGCAGATTAAGGTGGCAGGGTTTTGTTGAAGGGGGTGCAGGTAACAGACTGTGAATGTGCCTGAAATGGTCTGGAGGGGGTCAAACAAATATGGCATGGAGGGGGGCGCCACAAGATTGGCTTGCACAGGGCGCATGAATACCTTAGGTCGGCCCTACTTACAACCCTCCTTTGTGTGTCTTGCTCCCCCAGCCCTGTGTGTCTCCTCCTCTCCCAGACCCTTTGTGTCTTTTACTCTTCCCCAGCTCCTTTGTGTGTTTCTCTTTCACCCATAGCCCATCTATCTCCCTCTATCCCCACTTTGTCTGTTTTTGCTCTTCTCCAGCCCACCTCTGTCTTTTTCATCACCAGCCCTATGAGCATCTATTCACAACCATGCGTGTACCCCCCTTCTGTCCACCTGTGTGTCTTTCTCCCCACTCAGACCCCCATGTATGCCACTGTCCCCTCCAATTACCTTAGTGTTCCTCCCCCCTTCCCTCTATGTCCCTTAGTGGTCCTCTCCCCCTCTCTTACCTGTCCCTTAGTGTTCCTCTCCCTCCACTGTCTCTCAGTGTTCCTCTCCTTCCCCTGTCTCTCAGTGTTCCTCTCCTTCCCCTGTCTCTCAGTGTTCCTCTCCTTCCCCTGTCTCTCAGTGTTCCTCTCCCTCCCCTGTTTCTCAGTGTTCCTCTCCCTCCCCTGTTTCTCAGTGTTCCTCTCCCTCCCCTGTCTCTCAGTGTTTCTCTTCCTCCCGTCTCTGTGTTTCTCTCCCTCCCCTGTCTCTCAGTGTTTCTCCCCCCATTCCTGTCCCTTAGTGTTCCTCTCCCCTCTCCTCCCTTCCTTGTCCCTTAGTAGCCCCCATAACCCTTCTTAGAGTCACTCTCTCCTCCCTTCCCTCTCATTCAGTGCCCCCCCACCCATGTCCCTTAGTGTTCCTCTCCCCGTTCATGTTCCTTAGTGTTCATCTTCCCTCCCACCCCTGTACCTTAGTGTTCCTCACTCCCCCCACCTCCCTTAGTGGTCATCTTCCCTCCCTTCACAGTCTTAGTGGTCCCCCCCTTAGTGTTCCTTTCTGCCACTTTTAGTGTTCAACTCCCCTCCCTTCCCTCTCTTTTATTGGTGTGTCCCTCCCCCCCCCTCCTTAGTGTTACATTTCCCTTCCCTCCCCTGTTCTTAGTGCCTCCCGGCCCCTTAGAGTTACTTCTTGCGTCAGTCCTTTTGGATTAAAGATGAGAGAAAAAACAAAACACCAAAAGCTGCAAAGGGGAACGTGGGGTCTATGATCTATATCTGTGGCATGGGGTAGTCTTTGATCTCTGCTTGTGATAGGGAATGTAGGGGCTTGGAGAACCTTTCTGTGTGACTGCCTGTTGGTGTGTGGTTCTGGTCTGTGAGGCATTTGATTTTCCAAGACACTTTACTAATTGCAAAAAGTAATGCAGGTTAATATCAGAAATCATAATTGCCTGAGCAGTGTTTCCTCTACTAAACTGCAATTTCAAAGCCAATCATTGTGAGTGCACTTAGTTACATAGTTGCATAGCTGAAAAGAGACTTCCATCCATCAAGTTCAGCCTTCCTCACATATGTTTTAGCTTTTGATCCAAAAGAATGCAAAAAACCCAGTCCGAAAGGTGCTTCTAATTTTGCAACCAACTAGGAAAAAAATCCTTCTTGACCCCAAAATAGCAGTCAGATGTCTCCTTGGATCAAGCATTTAGGAAATTAGAAATTGTATCCCTTTAGGTTATGTTTTAGCAAGTATTTATCCAATTGCAGTTTAAGAGCTTTATGGACTCTGATAAAACCACCTCTTCAGGCAGAGAATTCCATATCCGTATTGTTCTCACTGTAATTTTTTTTATTATTATTATTTTTTTTTTTATTCTTCCAGCCTAAATGTGTGACCTTGTGTTCTATATGCATAGCCCTGTTCATTAATAGATTTCTAGATAATGGTTTATACTGGCCTTGAAAATATTTAAGTGTTCTTGCATAGCAAGACCACTTAATGTTATCTCACATATATATTATTCTTATTAAGTGTTCTTGCATAGCAAGACCACTTATTGTTATCTCACATATATATTATTAAGTGTTCTTGCATAGCAAGACCACTTATTGTTATCTCACATATATATTATTCTTATTATAGCCAAATTTGCCACCCTAACTCCTCCCACACTTTTTACACTACATAGACAAAAATGTACCAAAACGTGCAGATTGTTCCCGATCGGATTGCTATTACTTTGTGGAACGTTTCGCCGAATGGTTCACGGAATATTGTCGTTCTTGTGGCGCAATTTGTCCCATAGGAATGAATAGCAAAGCTAGAGTGGGAGCTGGCAAAAGCTGAAAAATCAGGACATGATTTCTAAACTGCCACCACTCCCTTATTTTCAGGCCCACCTACACAAATCTTATATCAAAATGTTCAGCTATCCCTGCTGTCACTAAACATGTCAACGGCTAAGCCATAGTCCTGATAGTTTTCACAATATAATCATTTGTTTGCAACTAACGCCGTCCATTGACATTCATTGAAACTTCACTCTACAAAGCTCAAATTTGAAGTGCAATTTCTAAACTGTGACTGTGCCTTCATTTTTAATACTTCAGTGACATACTATGCATCAAAATGTAGGTCTGGGTCTTGTGATTCTCACAATATAAAGCTCTTCGCTGTAGGATTTATAGTTTTTAAAATACGACCGTTTGAAGATGGCAACCGCCAAAATACACTGACCTGTGCCAGGCTGCAGCAGCAAGTGATGTCATAGACAGGGCCTTTTGAACACCTGCTAATGTTTTTATAAATGTATGGTTTAATGTAACTGTGCAACAACATTGCAATTAAATGTGCTATATAAATGATAACAGTTACTCTGCCCACTCCAGTTGTAGACTACTGGTGGAGGCAAGAACACTTCACACAATTTCCCCAGAAATTGTAGCTTTTCTAGTTGTATAATGTTATCATATCCCCTCTGAGGCATTGTTTTTTTCCAAACAAAAGAGATTTATTTATTTTTTTAAACCTTTCTGCATAACTACAATGCTTCATTCTTTTTATCAATTTTGTAGCTCATCTCTGAACTTTTTTCTAGTGCCATGATATCTTATATCATATCTTATAAAGAGGCAAAATTATATTTTCATCCCGAGAATTGATGCCCCTATTTATACATGACAAAATCTTACTGGCCTTAGCAACTGCAGATTGACATTGCTGCCTAAATTGTTGTCTATAACAATTTCCAAATCCTTCTCGTGTGTGGTTATCCCTAATTCACTACCATTTAGGGTGTAAGTTGCTTGTGCATTCTTGACCCCGAAGTGCATAACTTTTAATTTATCTACGTTCAATTTCATCTGCCATTTTAGTGCCCAGTCCCACAATATATCCAAATCCCTCTGCAGCAAAGCAATATCCTGCTTACATTTTGTTACTTTACAAAGTTTTGTCTCATCTGCAAACACTGAAACAAGGCTTCCAATTCCAATTTCAAGATCATTTATAAATATGTTTAATAGAAGTGGTCCCAAAACAGAACCCTGAGGTCACTTATCACCCCTGCCCAGCCTGAAAATGTATGATTAATGACAACTCATACTCTATCCTTCAGCCAATGTTCTACCCAAGAACAAGAATAATCATCTAGACCAATTTCTTTTAGTTTGAAGACTAACCTATTGTGAGGAACCGTATCAAATGCCTTGGAAAAATCCAAGTAGATCACATCCATTGCAACATCCTGATCTCTACTTCTCCTTACTTCTTTGTAGAATGTAATTAGGTTAGTTTGACATGACCTATGTTTCATAAAACCATGCAGATTATTGCTAATAACAAAGTTCTCCAAAATGAATTCTGGAATATTATCCCTTAGTAGCCCTTTAATTAGTTCCCCAGTCACAGAAGTTATGCTCACAGGTCTATAATTTCCAGCAAGGATTTTGAACCCTTTATAAATAAAGGAACAAAATCTGACTTCATCCATTCCTCCGGTACAATACCTGAAACAAAATAATCTTGAAAAATTAAATACAATGGTTCACTTATTTCCCCACTTAGCGCCTTAACTACTTGTGGGTGAATACCGTCAGGCCCTGGAGCTTTATTTACATTAATTTTATTTAACAGCTGTAGCACCTTGTCTCGAGTTATCCAATCACAAGTTATCTGCATTTTTTTTTTTTGCAGCAATCATTTGCATATGTCTTGCCATAGGATCTCCAGTAATATATACTGAAGAAAAATAGTTATTTAAAATGTATGCCTTGTCCTGGTTTTCATTAGCTAACAGACCCATCTCTGTTTCCAGTGTACCTACACTTTCATTTTCATTTTTGTTTTTGTTTTAGAATTGATGTACGTGAAAAAAGTTTGGGGGTTGGTTTTGCATTCTTTGGCTATCAATTTCTCATTTTCTGGTTTAGTCACTTTAATTGCCTTTTTGTAAGCGTTATTGGCTTCCTTATATCTTAAATAGGATGCCTTTGATTTGCCTGATTTAAATGCTTTAAATGCCCTTTTCTTATTTGTAATCTCTTGTTTTACTTCTCTACTATGCCACATTGGTTTTAATTTGTTTCTTTTACATTACCCAATGGTACATACTGAAAAATGTACCTTTCCAATATTTGTTTGAATAGTTTCCATTTATCCTCTGTGTTTTTTATCACTAAGGAGTTTATGCCAGTCGATATGTTGTAGAGCTGCCCTAATCTTATTGAAATTGGCTTTTTAAAAATGATATGTTTTAATATATCCCACATGCTTTTGCTTTGTTTGAGTTTATTTCAAAAATTACCATATTGTGATCACTATTTCCCAAATGCTCCCCTACTTGAATGTTGGTCAAAAGATCAACATCGTTTGTTAAAACGAGATCCAGACAAGCATCCTTTCTAGTTGATGCTTGTATCAGTTGTGACATAAAGGTGTCATTTAACACATAAAAAACCTGATTCCCCTTGCTGAAGTACTAGACACTCTATCCCAATTTATGTCCGGATAATTAAAATTTCCAATAATTAATGTCATACCCCGATTTTCAGCTTTCCCAATTTGCTCTTACAGCTGTACTTCCTCATTGGCTATGAAACTGCAGTTTAAAGGACCACTCTAGGCACCCAGACCACTTCAGCTTAATGAAGTGGTCTGGGTGCCAGGTCCTTCTAGGGTTAACCCATTTTTTAATAAACATAGCAGTTTCAGAGAAACTGCTATGTTTATGAATGGGTTAATCCTTCCCCCTAATCCTCTAGTGGCTATCTCATTGACAGCCACTAGAGGCGCTTGCGTGCTTCTCACTGTGAAAATCACAGTGAGAGCACGCAAGCGTCCATAGGAAAGCATTGTAAATGCTTTCCTATGCGACCGGCTGAATGCGCGCGCAGCGCTTCCCGCGTGTGCGCATTCAGCCCAGGAGGAGGATCGGAGGAGGAGAGGAGGCAGAGAGCTCTCCGCCCAGTGCTGGAAAAAGGTACGTTTAAACACCTTTCCCCCTTCCAGAGCCGGGCGGGAGGGGGACCCTGAGGGTGGGGGCACCCTCAGGGCACTATAGTGCCAGGAAAACGAGTATGTTTTCCTGGCACTATAGTGGTCCTTTAACAAAGGTAACCCTGCTAAATTAAAATTATTTCTAGTAATAACCTGTATTTGTGTTTGCAATCAGGATAGACAGCATTACAAACTTAAATGCCATTATATTTTACATCTGTTGAGATGTACTGACAGCATGAAACACAGGACTCTCTAAGAGAATAATATACTTCATGCTGATCGATCATCAACCAGCCTCTACACTGGAAGCTGGTTGATATCTTACTCCCCAAAACAAGGGTGAAGGAGGCGGGGGTGGAGGGGGGGGAGGGATTTGCACAATTTCATTTGTGTATCTGATTAAATTCAATCTTTTGTAGTGTAGTGTCCATCTATCATATGCATTAGAAAAGCTACATCTCCACCTACAGTGTTCATTTAATACATGCATATAGCCTCTGAGGGCAACATTTTAAATTCCTATATATATTTTAAAATATATATATATATATATATATATATATATATATATATATATATATATATATATATATATATATATATATATATATATATATATATATATATATATATAAATATATATATATATAACCGTTGATTTGATGCACAAGAGCTATGCACAATTTAAATCAGTTCACAATGTTCGGATATATAAAGTCTTACTTTGTATCCTTTGGTTTTTGCTCTCATTGAGATATCCAAGTAATATGATTAGATCTTCAATAATTCGAAAATACTGAGATCCAGAGGAACTGCAGGAATGTATTGTAACAGCAATCAGCAACTGCTGTATATCACAGACAAGTAAAATATATTCTTCTGAAGGGACACTAGAGGAAGAAAATAATTTTAGTGGTACAAAAGCATTACATTTTCCTTTTATAGATTTTGTACTGTAGTTTAAAACATAAAACTAACTCTGCTTAAGGGATTACAAGTTATTCTACATCAATATCTGGTTGAAAGCCACAGCTTCTATTTTACAGAATTAGAATGTTGGCAGGATATGATTTGTGTACAACTAACATTGCATATAATTTAGAACAATCAAATTAGAAGATTGTCAATACAAGTTCTTGGTCAATTAAAAAAAAAAATCTAATTATATGTATCACAAAAATAGTAGGCACATTTAACCCCTTAAGGACACAACTTCTGGAATAAAAGGGAATCATGAGGGAATATTTCTGTCATGTGTCCTTAAGGGGTTAATATACATTAAATAATGCATCCAACAAAAGAAAAAGTTTCTGACTTGACACATTGTTACTCTCCAATAAAATTCATCCAAAAACTGTCCCACATTTATGAAACACAGACTGTTGCGTACTAGGACCGTTAATTTGTTCAACAATTTATTATCTTTAATTCTGGCTATAACTAGAGGAAGGGGGATGAGTTTTAACAATGAAGCAGCAAGTGCCTCGTAGGTTACGGAGATACATTTATTGAAAAGCATGCATGCAGTTAGTGAACCCCTCCATAGGCTGGAATAACAGGCAAACCCAGAATCTAATTCTATAATGTCTTTGAAAAATTATATTCAATAAGTCATTAATGTCCTCCCTTTTAGACATGACCATCACACATACGACTTAACGTCAAATGTCTTATTTGATAAAGCATGACTAGGGTTCTATGCCATCTCAATAATATTGTGTACATGTGTGCCTGCAATTGGATACAGAGACCTCTGATGCTAATTTTCATTGTGAAAATGTCCCCATCCCATAAAGTCCCGCCCAGTAAATCCTACCAATGTGTCATGTATTTGAGTTGGCACTTTTCTGGTGCGTAAAGACAATGCCAAATAAATACTCAAAATAAGACAGTCCTGTGAAACCTGTCTGGTACACAATGTTTCAAAAGATGTCAAGATGTCAAGACAGTATTAACTAACATTCCTAAGAAATCTGTGTGTATCTATATCCCAGCCTGTAATTAAACCATCCAATTACTACCCTGGAGGACAAAGTAAATCCGGCTCCTCAAGGTTGTGAAAATGACGTATAAACCAGGTGGGAAGGCTCTGGAGACAATGAGGAGATAAGACTTTTTAAAAAAAATTAAATTGAGTCTCACATTGGAAAAGAAATGTGCATGGATGGATATTGTATGCAAAGACAGGTATTTGTACCATTAGACCTTACATGTTTTTTTTTTTTTTTTTTTTTTTTAACACATCACAGTATGTCAGGGCTCACCAAGTATGCCTCTAGATCAGCCAACTGCTTACACTCTACAGGTTCCAGGCTACAATGAGGGCTAGTTGTGTTGTGTAGTAATATAGAAGACAATTAGGTAGGGTTAATCCAGCATTTTCCCTAGAAGACTACATCACTTTAGAGGAAACAATGTGCATTATAGTATATATAAAAAATACATAAATAGTAAAATGCAAAGTGTAAGCTAGCCATGACATCAGCTATCACATGAATATGTTTTAATAAATATAAAATTTTTGGTAATATGTTAATTTTACCACTATTCAACTAATCCAGTCAATAGAGTAATCATCCTGTTTTTTTTTCTGAGTCCAGAATCAATCTGGTAGTTAACATAATTGTGTTGAAAGAAAATGTAAAAGACTAGCCTGTAATGTGCTGATGACGAGGGCATAATGAAATTAATAGAATAAACAAAATAGAACCAAATAATGCTTTTGGTGCAAGCAGAAAAGACCATGCGTAAAGAAACATGCAACCCATCTTTACAGCCCTGCAACCCTGCAGCTTAAAGACCTGGAATTCCCCTCCCCTTTAAATAATAAAAATGAAATAAAATAAAGATTAATAAATAAAAACACACCCAAAAAAAAAAAAAAAACACACACATGTAATTTAGGACATTACCTATGACAATAGTTTTTACCACTTTATGTAGCTTAACAGGTGTGGTATAGTACCAGAGCAACGTTTTATGACTGCTCCTGTGACAACACATAATGAAGACCTAGATGCAGCTTCCCATATATGTTAAGTGCACCCAATTCACCTGAAGTAGCACTTAAGTGAGCATAGAACTGTATTCAAAACCTTTCTGTAATGTTTCCAGTGCACAAAGCCATTGGAAAAGGTGAGAGGAACATTTGTTGCCCGCCTAACCACGTCACCCAGTGCAAAGATACTGTGATAAGATCCTGAGGCCCATTGTTGTGCCATTCATTGACGGCCATCACCTCATGTTGCAGCATGATAATGCACGGCCCCGTGTTGCAAGAACCTGTACACAATTCCTGTAAGCTGAAAACATACCAGTTCTTGCATGACCAGCATACTCACCGGCATGTCACCCATTGAGCGTCTTTGGGATGCTCTGGATCAGCATATACGCCAGCGTGTTCCAGGTCCTGCCAATATCCAGCAACTTTGCACAGTCATTGAAGAGGAGTGGACCAACAATCTACAGGCCACAATCAACAACCTGACCAACTCAATGTGAAGGAGATGTGTTGCACTGTGTGAGGCAAATGGTGGTCACACCAGATACTGATTGGCTTTCGGACCTCACTAATACAGTAAACCTGCACATTTTAGACTGGCCTTTTATTGTGGCCAGCCTAAGGCACACCTTTGCAGTAACAATGATGTCTGATCAGCATCTTGATATGCCACACCTGTGAGGTGTATAGATTATATTACATATTACATAGTTGTGAACAATATTTGAGCTGAACTGACCTTTTGTGTACATAGAAAAGGTTTTTTAGTTCAGCTCATGAAAAAATGGGGGCAAGAAAAAAAAATGTGTTTATAATTTTGCTCAAATATATATATATATATATATATATATATATATATGTATATGTATATATATACACATATACATACACACACACATATAAAGCTTATCTAGACTTCAATTATTATTTATTTTTCAGATTTTTGTTTTATTTTAATTTTATTATTTAGTAATTTCAATTTTTATTGTTTCCCTCTATTTTTCATAGATTTATTTTTCACATGTATTTACATTTTTGTTATTTTTATTATTTTGTCAGTCTTATTTTATTTCTATTGTTTATATTATTTTTATTGCTCATTTTTATTTGTATTATTCCATTACCTGTTACAGTATCTCTGTTTTTTTTTTGTTTTTTTTATTATTTTCTGATTGATTCATTTTTTTTTTCTATTTTTGAATATTCTTGATTATCTATTAGTGATATTTTTTTTATGTATTTTTTTTTTTATTGAAGTCACACAGCGGGCCATGGGTCTATTGAGTGACAAGGTGTTTATTTTGATAACACAAGAACAAGGGGTTAACCTGTCCAAAGGATGTAGCAGGGTATTTGCCCTGTAGATGTGTGTTTGATTCTGTCGGGACGGGACATGCTATTGGGATTGTAACAACACCGGATAACTTATGCACCATGAGCTTTTTTTGGCCATTGGGGGCTTCTGTTACAAATCCGTCATTGTGGCACGCACAATTGTTGTTACACATTCTCAGATTTGGAACCGGGGTTTATTAGGTTTATTATTTATAGGATGAAGTTTAATTGTTATGTTATATTGAGTTTGACCCTGGTGTTCACAACCTGACTGTTACAATGATTTACCTTTTAAATATGCGTATATCAATCAGTGTGTTCTGTTGCTATGACAACATGACAATCTCTAACTTTTGAGTTTGGTTTACTGTGACTAGCAGGAATTTCAGGTGTGTTTAATTCATTTGGGCTCAGTGTGGGTGTTGTATAATGTATTACCGCCTATTTTAGATTGCTTGAGTTTGGTGACTAGAAATCACCATTGATAAAGGTTCCATAGCTGAAACGTTGGGTGTCCAGCTCTGTCCACTTGTTAGGTAGTGTACTGTGCATCAATTACCTATTTTATATATGTGTGGATAATTCGCTATTTGATCAACTATTTTACTACATGTATTTGAAAGATGCATATTTGCCATGTCGATTGAAATACATGCTGATATTAGAGGTGTATATAGCTGTATTCGGATTTACTATTCTTATGTATGTATTGCAATGAAATTTGATTTATTTATTTTTTTCCATCAATTTTGGGAGTGCAGGTATTTCTTCAATTGTATGATTATTAAAGGGACACTATAGTCACCTGAACAACTTTTGCTTAATGAAGCAATTTTGGTGTATAGAACATGCCCCTGCAGCTTCACTGCTCAATCCTCTGCCATTTAGGAGTTAAATCTCTTTGTTTATGAACCCTAGTCACACCTCCCTGCATGTGACTTGCACAGCCTTCCATAAACACTTTCTGTAAAGAGAGCCCTATTTAGGCTTTCTTTACTGCAAGTTCTGTTTAATTAAGATTTTCTTATCCCCTGCTATGTTAATAGCTTGATAGACCCTGCAAGAGACTCCTGTATGTGATTAAAGTTCAATTTAGAGATTGAGATACAATTATTTAAGGTAAATTACATCTGTTTGAAAGTGAAACCAGTTTTTTTTTTAATTTTATTTATTTTTAATTTTTTTCATGCAGGCTCTGTCAATCATAGCCAGGGGAGGTGTGGCTAGGGCTGCATAAACAGAAACAAAGTGATATAACTCCTAAATGACAGTGAATTGAGCAGTGAAATTGCAGGGGAATTATCTATACACTAAAACTGCTTTATTTAGCTAAAGTAATTTAGGTGACTATAGTGTCCCTTTAATATACCACTAGAGGGGGTGGTATCCAATACCCTTTGCACCCTAGACTAATTGTTCATGCTGTACATTTATTGGTTACCTCTACTGATTTTTTTTCTCAAGGAGAAAAAGTCTGTCTGATGTAGGGATCCAAATAAAGGAAGTGAATATTGTTGTTCGGGGAGGGTGACCAATAGATCATATGCATTAGTGAAGACCACAAACTCCTCACTTGTGATTTTGAACCCTTTTTATATTTGAGTGGGACTGAATACTTTGCAGCAGTGGTTGCAACACCATGATAAAAAGGATAGGGGAGATGGGGCACCCGGAATGCCTGTTCCATTACTCAATTTTAAAAGCTCCAACCCTGCCCCAGGTATTATGGTCTGGGTCCTCAAGTAATAGCCGATTGGGTACCTGAGACAAAAGGCAATCTAAAAACGCTCTATACCTAATCATCTTAAATAGGGCTAATACCTTCAAGTCCATTGGTGGAATAGTGGGTGTCTTCCCTCTTGCGGTTTCTTACTTGCTCCCCGATCTTCTCTTTCAGGTGTAGCTGCTGATTTTTGTTTAATAACATAAAGGATTCACTGATTTATGTATATAACTATGGTAGACATATATTTAATAGCCCTCTCGTCTAGATCTTCAGAAAATTACTCCCCTTGGCAACAGAAGGGGGAGTTTGGGTTGCTATACACATTATCAGTAAACTGGAACGAACAGCCATGTTTTAGAAGATCGACGTGGAACGCATGTCGGACACATGACGAACATGTGACAAGTGGCGAACACGGAAGTAAACGAGATTGATACGGAAGAAGTGCCCTATTATCGGTAAAGCAGCTACACCTGAAAGAGAAGATCAGCGAGCAAGTAAGAAACCGCAAGAGGGAAGACACCAATGGACTTGAAGGGATTAGCCCTATTTAAAATGATTAGGTATAGAGCGTTTTTAGATTGCCTTTTGGTTTGCTATATGTTTACTGATTGTTTTATAGAAAGTGGTCCCTGAGGAAGTCCTTTGAATAAGGACGAAACGCGTAGGACCTGTGGACGTTTTATATACTTGTTTTTATGCTTTCGCATACCTCCTTATTTTATGTGTGAATAAATTGCTTTTTGGAGTATCCTTTTGGCTGGAGTTTTTGGACCATCACGCTGGCCCAGGTACCCACTTGGCTATCACCTGAGGAGGGAGCTCACCATCCACATTGTGGGGAGGCACCTATAAAACGCTCTAACAACTTGGAATTTGTGAGTGCATAAAATCACTATATTATACTAACATTTTTTTTTTTATGTTTTGTCCTTCATTGTAGGTACACTAGCAGGATACCTAATTTCCTATCTTCTGTACAGATTTAACACTAACCTTAATTAATATACAGCTTTAAATTTTGTGGACAAAAATAAAATAAAAAAAGAAACAAAACTAGGGTTGTACACAATTTTACTGCTTAGATATGTGGCCAAACCCAAATTCAATTCCTAGAACTACAAAGCGGACAGTCATTTGAAATAATCTGATATAGAACTACCGCCATCATAATGCATAGCAGGTGGCCATGACTCATTTTCAAAAGCCATTTGATTTATGTTTAACCCCTTAACGACGCTGGACGGAAATTTTCCGTCAAGGCAGACCTACCCTTAAGGACGCTTGACGGAAAATTTCCGTCAATTACTAAAGTTAACGCCAGATCGCCGCGATTGCGGCGATCGTGGGGTTAACGCTGTTGCTGGGTGCCTCGGCGTTTGAGGAAGCCCAGCAACAGCCAATAGTGCTGCCCAGCACATGTGATCGCTGTGACAGCCAGTCACAGCGATCACAGTGCTGCTGGGAATTCTGATCCTCCTCCCTCCACCTCTGTGTGTGATTAGAAGTGGAGAGAGACGGATCGTTTGAAACTTTGTGTCCCTGACAGACATAAAGTGTTTAAAAGTTTTAAAAAAAACCTTTTACCCCCTTTAACTTTAAAAGTTTAACCCTTTGATCACTGGCAGCAGTGATCACAATACTGATCACAGTACTTTACTGAGATCAGAGTTTTTTTTTAACCCTCAGGGGTTAACTTTATTTTCTTTTTAACCCTCAGGGGTTAAATATATTTATTTTTGTTTTACTTTTATTTTCAGTTAATTAGTTAACTGGGGTGGATTGAAGCTAGGGGGAATTGGGGAATCTAGCATTAGTGTAGCTAGGAAGCTGAAAAGTTTTAGAAAGTTATTAAAAGTTTATAAAAGTATAAAAAAAAAGTGAAAAAAGGAAAAAAGAGAAAAAAAAAAGTAGTTTATTTTAAGTCAAAGCATTTCTGTTTCGCTAGGTGTAAGCACGGTGATCTGATTCCTGTTTTTACCCACAGGGGTTCATTTTTAAAAAAGTTTTTAGAAGTTTTAGAAAGTTTTTAAGAGTTTTAAAAAAATAAAAAAAGGATTAAAAAAATTCAGAAAACAAAAAAAAGTATAAAAAAGTTAAAAAAACAAAACAAAAAATACGTTATTTAGTTAAAGTTAATTTTAAGCTTTCACCATGCTTAGAAAGTTTAGTGCCGAGGAGGCATATAATATATTAGCAGCCGACTCAGAGGCAACCGACACTGCCTCAGAGAGTGCAGAGGGTGACTATGTGCCAGACACAGATGAAGAAAGTGACGATACCCCTGGCACTGCTCCTGGCGCTGATATCTGGGTGCCCCCTAACAATTTTGTCCCCGACATCCCTCTGTTCACTGCGACTCCTGGTATTCAGGGAGACGTGACCAGCTATAACTCCCAGGATTTTATGGAGCTGTTCCTTGGGGATGATTTTTTAGGGCAGATAGCTACACAAACAAATATTTATGCAGCGCAGTATCTGGCACACAATGCAACAAGTCACCTTGCCACAAAAGGGAGCTGGTACCCCACCAGTGTGCCAGAGTTAAAACAGTTCTGGGCACCAACCATGCTAATGGGAATTATAAAAAAGCCCAGCATCCGAATGTACTGGTCCAAAAACCCAGTATGCAATACTCCCATTTTCTCTCAGACCATGAGTAGGCCCAGATACGAAACAGTACTGCGTTTTCTGCACTTCAATGATAATTCGAAGTGCCACCCCAAAGATCATCCGCAGTATGACAAACTCTATAAAATCCGCCCCCTAATTAACCATTTTAATAAAGAATTTGGCATAATTTATACTCCCCAAAAGAATATATGTATTGACGAGTCCCTAATGAAATACAAGGGTAGACTGGGGTTTAAGCAATACATCCCAGCCAAAAGATCCCGGTATGGCATCAAGCTATACAAGTTATGTGAAAGTAGCAGTGGGTATGTTTATACCTTCAGAATATATGAAGGTAAAGATAGCCACCGGGATCCCCCAGGTTGCCCTGATGTAGTTGGGACTAGCGGAAAAATAGTTTGGGATCTAATGAACCCGCTACTGAACAAGGGGTACCACCTCTACCTTGATAATTACTACAATAGCATACCCCTCCAAAAAATGCTATATTGTTTTGAGACTGTGGTCTGCGGCACTATCCGCAAGACACGCACTGGCTTCCCCAAGGCTCTGGCAGAGAAAAAAATTAAAAAGGGGGAAACGGCTGCTCTATGCCAGGACGAACTGCTGGCTCTGAAATACAGAGACAAAAAGGAGGTGTTCATACTGACTACCATGCACAGTGAACACACACGCAGGGTCGCAGTTCGTGGCAGACAGGAAACAAGACGGCTGCCTGTCTGCATTAAGCAATACAATAAACACATGGGGGAGTTGACCTGTCTGATCAACTGCTGCAGCCATATCTGATAATGAGAAAGACCAGGGCCTGGTATAAGAAAGTGGGCATTTATTTAATGCAAATGGCTACTCACAATGCATTCATCCTTTTCAAAAAGGCAAATCCTCAGCTGAAATGTACTTTTCTTACATTTCAGTTTCAGCTCATTTCTGTGCTGCTCACTGAGTGTCACAGTGGGGAGCCATCAGCAGGGCCTAGCAGCAGAGATATTCAGACAGGTCACTTCTGCTTTCGGATACCACCAACCCCCCAAAAAAAGACCCCCCAGAAAAGGTGCAGGCTGTGTTACCAGAGAGGCATTCGAACGGAGACCAGTTTCTACTGCCCTGATTGTCCCTCTCAGCCTGGCCTTTGTATTGGGAACTGTTTTAAATTATTTCATACTCAGAGCCAATAAATTCTCAATACAATTTTTTTTTTACCTTTTATTTAGTTAATTGGGGTGGATGATAGTTCCTGGGAAATTGGGGAGTTTAGTGCGTATGCTAGGGGTAGAAATACAAATAAAAAAAAACAACAAAAAAATAAAATAACATTGTTTTGTTAAAGTTCTTGTGTAAAAAGTTTAAAATGCTTTGGAAGTACAGTTAGAGAATTCTGACAGCGGATTCAGAGGTGACAGACAGTGCCTCAGAGTTTGACCCAAAATGGGACATGGACCCAGCATGCAAATTCAAAGTTTGAAACAAACCTGAAATGGCAGAGTCTCAAATTTGCCCCTTCAACATCCACACCTGAGAAAGGTACACACAGGGGTATTGCTGTACTCAGACGACATAGCTGAGTGACATATGAAGCGTTATACTGCCGTAGCACACCTAAGGATTGTAAACTATGCAGTAAAATCTCAAAGTATGTGTCAAAAAGGCAGAGAAAATGCTTACTACTACTAGACTTGGTACTCACTAGCGAAAAAATGATCCCACCCTAAGGTTCAAAATGGGCCTTTTGAAATACCCTGGGGTGTCTTCTTTAAAAAATGGTAGGCCTTTGTGGGGGAAGTTTGAATTCTCAACCTGTCAAATGCCCCAAAATGGGACATGGACCCGGCGTAAAAATTCAAAGTTTGAAACAGACCTGAAATTGCCGAGTCTCAAATTTGCCCCTCCAACATCCACATATACCTGGGAAAGGTACACACAGGGGTATTGCTGTACTCAGACGACATAGCTGAGTGACATATGAAGCGTTATACTGCCGTAGCACACCTAAGGATTGCAAACTATGCAGTAAAATCTCAGTGTGTGTGTCAAAAAGGCAGAGAAAATGCTTACTACTACTAGACTTGGTACTCACTGGCGAAAAAATGATTCCACCCTAAGGTTCAAAATGGGCCTTTTGAAATACCCTGGGGTGTCTACTTTAAAAAATGGTAGGCCTTTGTGGGGAAAGTTTGAATAAGCAACCTGCTATTAGAACCCAAAATGAGTCATAAACCTATAAAATTCTGTAAAAACTGAAATGGTCAGGTCTCCTATATGGAAGTGTAGCATCAGGAAATACGACTAAAGGCATACATTGGGGGTATCGTTTTTCTCACAGGAGATAGCTCAGCATAATTAGGGGTGTTTGATCATATTGGAACATATCAAATATACAAAATGCCCAGCACAAATGTAACGCATAAGTTAAAAATGCAAAAAATATTTTTTTACCACAACCTTTGACATATCATGGTGAAAAAATGGCGACATGTTAAGGCACAATATATGCCATGTGAGATACTCTGGAATGTCTACTTTCACAAATGGTAGGCCTTTTTGCGGTTTTTGAAACAGTCAAACTGCTATAATGGCCCAAATTGAAACATAAACCCTGCAAATCCGTCTCTCAAAATTCTACTCTAAAAACTGAAATGGTCAGGTCTCCTTTATGGCACTGTAGCATCACCAAACAGTGTCAAAGACATACATTGGGGGTATTGTTTTACTTAGAACACTTAGCTGAGCATAATTAGGGGTGTTTGATCATAGTGGAACATATCAAATATACAAAATGCCCAGCACAAATGTAATGCTTAAGGAAAAACTGCAAAAAATATTTTTTTACCACAAACTTTGACATATAATGGCGAAAAAATGGCGACATGTTAAGGCACAATATATGCCATATGAGATACCCTGGAGTGTCTACTTTCACAAATGGTAGGCCTTTTTGCGGTTTTTGAAACTGTCAAACTGCTATAATGGCCCAAACTGAAACATAAGCCCTGCAAATCCGTCTCTCAAAATTCTACTCTAAAAACTGAAATGGTCAGGTCTCCTTTATGGCACTGTAGCGTCACCAAATAGTGTCAAAGACATACATTGGGGGTATTGTTTTACTCAGAAGATTAAGCTGAGCATAATTAGGGGTGTTTGACCATAGTGGAACATATCAAATATACAAAATGCCCAGCACAAATGTAATGCTTAAGGAAAAAATGTGGAAAATATTTTTTAACACAAATTTTGACATATAATGGTGAATAAATGGTGAACCGTTAAGGCAAAATATATGCCATATGAGATACCATGGAGTGTCTACTTTCACGAATGGAAGGCCTTTGTGTGGTCATTTGAACAACCAAACTACTATAATGCCCCAAAATAAGACATAGGTCCATTAAATCCATCTTTGAATTTTCTAACTGTAGAAACTGAAATAGTCTGGCCTCTTATATTTCATTGTAGCTTCCCAAAATAGTGGCAAAGACATACAATGGGGGTATTGTTGTACTCAGCAGATGTTGCTGAACACAAAATGGGATTTTGACCAGCAATAGCACACAGCAGCTTTACAAAATACACATTTAAAAAACCTTGTTACATGTGTGTATTTCAAAAAACAGAAAAAACACAATTTTACTACAATATGTAGCAGAGATTGGTGGGAAAAAGGCTATGTAAAAAGTGTCAAAATACCCTTAAATAAATAGCCTGTGATGTCTTCTTTATTTAAATATATACTTTTGTGTAGCAATTTTGTTTTCTGTGACAGCTGTCAAACTTACAAGTCAAACATACCAACTTCTAAATTTTTTTCACATTTAAATTTTATATTACTCCTTGTATTTTGTGACCTGTAACTTTTAAAATAAGCTGAAATCCTTTACATATTATGCACTTTGAAAAACAAGAAACCTAAATGAATTTATTTTGAATTACTTTTCCTAAGCTGGACATATTATACACACACTATTATTGCCAAAACTGTGAAAAATATATATTTTTTTTCTTTTTTTTATGTTTTTTAATAATAAATTAGATTTTATATATGTATAAGTCTTGCCCATCTTGTCCTTTAAAAAACGATATATAATATGTGTTGATTGAATAAATGAGAGCGATGCAAATTGCAGTTGAACACAAACAGCAAAAAATGCAAAAATAGCTTGAGTCCTTAAGGGTATGTCCAGCTTCTGAAGCTGCGTCCTTAAGGGGTTAAACACTTCTAATTTAACCTACAACCCTCATAATTTTTATTTGTCAACAAGATTTAAAGATGTATATTGATAAATGTTTGTGTTATATTGTAGAATATCACATATTATATTTGCTTCTATGGGTTAAAAAAGAACAGATGATAGTTTGCTATTCTGTACCATGAGGACATTGGACTGTGCTATAAAGGAAGTTTGGGGATAGGATCCTTTTATGGGGAGTTTCCTTATATGGCCAGAGTCTAAATTAAAAGTCATGATGTATGTTTGCCCATAAAGAACTGAGGACAAAGGACCATGTTCTCTTCTCCTCCTCTTCATTCTCCTCTCCTGGTGTGTCCTAAATTGTTGATACAAAGACGACTACTTAAAAAAGATCTTTCACTCTCAGTAGTGATGTTAATAAATCCCATCTGTTAAGTATATTGTTTGCTTTTGAAGTAGAATAAATGCATATATTTTATAACAATCATAAGATGAGAGAGAGAGAGATATTAACCTGCTGAGCCTTTAATCAAACAAAATATATACATATAAGACTTATTTCAATCAACATAGAAAACACAAATCAAGATATTACATACATCTCTTTTACAGCCCCATGTCCCCCACCCACACACAGCAGCCCCATGTCCCCCACCCATCCCCAGCAGCCCAATGCCCCTCTCTCACACCCAACAGCCACATGTCCTCCTCTTACACCCAGCAGCCACATGTTTATAAAATATACAATCAAACAGAAAAATATTAATCAAAGGGCTCTAGAGGAGGAAGAAGACAAAATATAATTGTCCAAGTCACACCACCTACCATATAAACATACAGTGAGGGAAACAAGTATTTGATCCCCTGCTGATTTTGAATGTTTGTCCACTGACAAATAAATGATCAGTCTCTAATTTTAATTTTACCACATGACAGGAGGCTTCATATTTGCATATCTTTCTTTACTCAAAACTCCAGCAGCATAGTAACATAAACAACCAATCAGAAAAAAGATATAATGCCCATAAAAGGCCCTGTCTATGACATCACTTCCTCTTTCTTTGCTGCTCCAGCCAACATCAGGTCAGAGTATTTTGCCTCTCTGGCAATTGCTTATATACATTGTTTTTTTTGTTTTCACATATTTTTGGTTTTGTTTTCACTATATATTTGATTGTATTGTTTCATTTACTGTATTGTTTTAATTTACTGTTTTTTATTTACTTATTTTTCGTGGGTTTATTTTCGGGTCCCCTTATCCCTGTCCCTGCACGGTTTTAGGCCCCCCCCCTATTACTTTCCACGGCCGATACCCGCGAGCACGGCTGTCAGTGCCGCGCGCCGCGGGCCGGTTTCCTGTTTTTCTTCGTGGGGGCCGGTAGGGGGACAGGTGGAGGGGGACTGGGAACAGTGCTGTGTGCGTTTCCCCCCTTTTTTTCGTTCCGGCGCCGCGCGGTCGATCGCGGCGCACCTTCACACGCGGGCGGCAGGCCATCTTGGATCTCGCGGCTCGCGAGATACCGGACGGCCGCCTTCCCCGCTTGCCCGGCGGATCGGTAACTCACCCGACCGCCGGGCTCCACATCTGTATACCCTCCCTAGTGTGTACTAGGGAGGGTATTAGTGTAGCAGGTGATATTTTGCCCAGTGCCTGCCTGCTGTGCTGCCCATTTACAATATATGCATTAAAAGAGACAAGCACCCCTTTTTGTTGCCAGCTCAAGACCTCTATGTCTCTATACCCTGCTTAGGGTCATACCAGTTAATATACCCCAATTAGGGTTATACTATATACTGTTATACTCTCCACAAGATCAGAGTTAGGTACAGGGTCATACCATATTACTATACCCTGCACAGGGTCATACTATATTTCTATACCCTACAGGAATCACCCGATCACCGCGCCCTGCATCTGGATTAACCCCTTCAGGGGTCCCCCTCTCTGGGCACATTCATTTATTGATACAATTATTATATTTTATTCTCATGGATATATCTCTCATGGTGCCTTACACTGGATGATTATATGTTGAGCAGGCACACAATCTATGTATTATTGTGAAGCCATACAATATCACAGTCGTTATACAAAACATATACTGTACCTATAACAAGATCAACTATATCACTGTACCCTACGAAGGGCATATTGTGTTACTGTACCCTACAAAGGGCATATTATATTATATTATTGTACCCTACAGAGGGTCATATTATATTACTGTACCTGACGGTGCAAATTTATGTGGGTGTCCTCTGGGTATTTTTTCATGGCACACCACCTGGGGTGACCCCCCAGATATGCATGCAAGGTCACTGACAGACCATTACCTTTGATGTGGGTGTCCTCTGGGCTACCATGGCACACCACCCGGGGTGAACCCCGATCATATGCACGGAGGCCTACGCCACACTGCCTGTCAGTTTTACATTAAAGCAACAGTACCATGCCGGATGCGTTTTGACGGCAGGATCACTAAGAAAACTGAGTGTATTGTGGTGTACCCTTTACAGGGATACATATATGTATATTTACTGTGCCTAGTGTACATATTGAACGTGGGTGTCCTCTGGGTAATTTTTCATGGCACACCACCTGGGATGACCCCCAGATATGCATGCAATGCTTGTAAGGTGCCAATAATTATAATATGGGTGTCCTCTGTGTTACCATGGCACACCACCTGGGATGAACCCAGCCTAATAGACATGGGTCCTGCGGCTGCAGACCTTATGGAGACAGGCCCCATGCGCCTATATACAAAGCCTGTATAGTTAAAAACCGTGCATACAGCTCTGGCGTACATTTGTGGTGAACCCGGCTAGCCAGACCGACACCACTACCAGTCACCGCCTGCACCACGACTCTCAGTAGCCAGATTAAACTAATAGAGGTGACCCCTCTACACTTGGCACGAGTATTCATACTCTCAGACATACTAAAGCAGGCAATTCAAACTGTTTTTACCTGGGTGATCCCCAGTTCTACCAGGAGTCTAACACCCCTATGTGCTGACCCTCATACTATCTCACAACAGGACGGGAACGAGTCATGGTGGACACTCTCAACGTTCCCAAGATTTCTAGGCAACAATAAACGCCACAGTAACGGCCTCAGTGGAGAAGGTTCTGTTATGAACTCTACCCCACACCGCTTGATGGAGACCTCAGGCCCACAAACCTTCAAGTCAAAACGGCAAGGGAAGGGCTCCAGCCCCCCTGCCACTAAGGTCAAGGGCAAGACGCCCATCGAACAGACCAAATAGGCGGAGCACCGGGAATCCAAACCCCGTCCGCCACAATCTTCCGACAAAGAAGACTATTACCCACCACGTACTTTGGACATGGTAGATGAGCAACACGAAGACAGCTCACCGTCTGAGGAAATGGAACGGCAAGACCTTCCCCACACTTCCTCGAAGTACGTTAGGGAAACCTTACTCTGGGACGGCGGCTGAGGCAGAGATAACTGTAACGGCACTAAACCAGAGTATCCGAAGACGGAACGTTCCTGGACGAACACTATTGGCTGCGCAACCCTCAGGGGATGGAAGGATGCGCACGCCTCAAGACCGAGTTACCCCAGGGTACACAACTCAACCCTACCACCTCCAAAGAATGCTCGATATGCCTCCTGGGCAACGTAAATGACGCACTATGCGCCGACAGACGCAAATCTGTACTTGGCCGCATCGACAACACACTATTGGACTTAGGAACGACAAGAATTCGTCCCAAAAGCACAAGGCCTACTATTCGACGTAGTGTTCATTGCAGTATTCAAGAAACATGTGAATTTATTCACCACACTAAATTAAACCCAGACCTCGCTAAAACAAGTCTTCCACAACCCTACGGGGAAAGGTGTTTCTGGGAGGACTGGTCGGTAACTGAACCGAGCCACCAGCCGCTTCTGGGCGACAGGTTCCAGATCGTATACACGGTCCTCATATTTCTCCCATCTACTACACAAAGGAACCCATCCGCTTCATCTACTAGTGTGTCAACCTACATAACTAACTGTTTCCAATATTATGACCGGCAACCTGTCTCTGTTTTACAGAATTGGGAGACGACTACCAAAGTCACCTGGGTTCTCCAGACAGTACAAGGCTATGTCATAGAGTTTTATCACAGCCGTGCAGGTCGCCCCTTCACCTCCATTACGCACGCTGGCGGAACAGGAACGCCTCGTGGACAAGAAAATCTGCACCCTCTTCAGGAGGGGCGCAATTCAACATGCACCGGAGGGGAAGGCTTCCCCAGCAAATTTTTCCTGGTCAAGAAGAAGCCAGGAGACTACATCAATGGAACTCCTACATGGTATACAAATGCTGCAAGATGGAGGAAATTTGTCTTCTACAAGACCTCCTAGGCGATAACGACTGGTTTACACATCTGGACCTCAAGGACGCACGCTTGTCAGTACCCGTTGCCCTGGACTGCCGAAGTTTGCCTCCGATTCCAATGGTGAGGACAAACACGGCAGTTTACGACTCCGTGGTGCTCGCGAACCTACTGTAACCAGTGAGGGCACACATCCGTAAATTTGGGCGTGCGATGCCTCGTATACCTGGAAGACTTGCTGATTCTTTACGAATCCAGGCCACGTTTGCAGACAAATTTTGTCGTTCACTTTCGGGACTCCATGGGTTTTTTGTTGTACACAGACAAAGATCGCTTCTCCATATGAATCGGGCCAGTTCCTCGGTTTCAACATCAGCTTGGAGAACTAAGTTCCGCGTCCGTCTACGGCAAAGAGCGCCTCTATAAGGATAGCTGTCGGATTGTGAGATTCCTCTCCCTCTCCATACAAGCGTTATTCCCTGGCCCACTACGACTGATGGTGAGATACGTACGCACCGGTCACTCATACGACCACTGGATCCCACTGTCAGCGGAAGTGAGGATGGAATTTCGATGGTGATTACTTCACATACAAACTTGGATTGGCAAAACGATCTTTGACTCTTCCTTCGGATACGGGGCGATGGATGAACCCCAGCAAATGCGACCCAGCCGTTCTCCACAATAGCAAGGGTGCTTCGATACACACACACACACCCACAAGATATCGCTCCTGCTCATGATACCCCTCGGGCAGGGCCAACCGTGATTCCCCGGATCGCCTGGAGATGTCTCGCGGAGACCCTCTACTACTCCCTACCTTCCCTCTACTTCTGACGGGACCTCGAGGGGAAGCCCACTCCCTTGTCATGGAAGGACAACTGGCACTGGACGGCTTCAGGGGCTTCTGGTCAGTTCACGACCTATTGCATCAACTAAGACCTCCTATGGGACTCATAGGCTCCCGGCACCAGGAAAGGCTATATTTCTGCCTGGTCGGCCTGGAGTGATTGGTGTGTGGAAAGGGATTCCGATCCCTTTACCGCACCTGTCCCACTGACCCTCAACTATCTGTCACACCTGGTCTCGTTGGGTCGGTCATATCGATCCCTCAACGTGATCAGATCCGCCGATATACGCAGATATCGGCGGCGCACGTTCCGGTACAGAGCAGACCAGTAGGTCAAGATACACTGGTTTGTCGACTACTGTGGGGTGTCGAATTGTCGAGATCCCTGCACCCAAATATTCACGCCTCTGGCAGGTGGATGTGGTGCTGAGATTCCTTAGGGAATGGCCGGACAATCCTTGTTTGTCACTGAAGCAACTTTCAGCCAAGCTAGCCCTCTTATTATGCCTCGCCTCATTTAGACGGTGGCGGACGTTAGGGCTTGCGATATGGATGGTTTCTCTCTCACACCAGACGGGGTTACCTTTACCATGTCGAGATGAACTAAGTCTGTTTCGTCTTCAGAGTCATACCCATGCTTTGTGTCAGACGCCTCACTATGCGTGGTCAGAACGCTAATGGGGTACACCAATATCTCTACCCCCTTCGAACTCATTCGACGGATCACCTTCTGACTTCTTACGTGAACCCTCATGGACCGGTGTCTACCGCAACACTGGCCAGATGGGTCCGCTGGTTTTTGTCTTTAGCGTCGAACCTTGTTTCGGAGCCCACTCGGTCAGGGGAGCGGCGGCCTCACAAACCTTTTCGGCCGACGCTTCCCTAGCCGACATTATACGCTGCGCGGACTGAGCGCGAGAGAGTACGTTTAGAACGTTCTATTTTCGGCAAACATCTCATGCTTCCTTCACATTGGTCAATTCAAAGCTTTAAAAATGCAAATATGAAGCCTCCTGTCATGTGGTAAAATTGAAGATTATATTAGCTTTAGTGTACTAATAATCTTAATTTTAGTAATGACAGGAGGCGAATATTTCCCACCCTATAGAATCCCTCCCATGTTTCTCGTGTTGAACAGAATATGTCCTTTATGTTCAGGAAGGTAAGTACGTATGGTTTGTATGTTTGCTACTTAGACCTGTATCTTGTGGGTCTTGTATTGGCTGAATACTAGACATGAACCTTGCATTATGTTGTGTTTATATATTCTTAAATATCATTGCGTTAGAATAAATATATATTGATATGTTTCACACTCTAATGTTCGTTGGTATATCAGATGCTTAATGCTTATTGTATGCGGACAAGTTATCACGCCAGATACCTTTCACCTTTTTCTTTTTCTTGCAGCGTGAACGTCTTCTCATCGAGACAAAGATTCACCTTCCATACCTCTGCATCGTGGAACTAATGGAGTTGGATATTCTAATATGTTGTTGAACTGTTGACGTAATATGATTATGTCTCTTGTTGTAATTTATTGTTTCGCTTCAAAGAAAGAGGAAGTGATGTCATAGACAGGGCCTTTTATGGGCATTATATATTTTTTTCTGATTGGTTGTTTATGTTACTATGCTGCTGGAGTTTTGAGTAAAGAAAGATATGCAAATATTGGCCTCCTGTCATTACTAAAATTAAGATTATTAGTACACTAAAGCTAATATAATCTTCAATTGTACGATTATTTTAACAGTGAGAGACAGAACAAAAAACAAAAGCAAAAACAAAAACATCCAGATAAATGCATGTAAAAAAGGTATACATTGATTTGAATGTCAATGAGTTAAATACATATTTGATCCCCTACCAATCAGCAACATGACTGGCTCCCAGGTGTCTTTTATACAGGTAACAAGCGGAGAATAGGTGCACTCTCTTAAATGGAGTGCTCCTAATCTCAGCTTGTTACCTGTGTAAAAGACACCTGTCCACAGAAGCAATCAATCAGATCCCGAACTCTCCACCATGGCCAAGACCAAAGAGATGTCCAAGGATGTTAGGGACAAGATTGAAGACATACACAAGGCTGGAATGGGCTAAAAGACCATCACCAAGCAGCTTGGTGAGAAGGTAACAACAGCTGGTGTGATTATTCGCAAATGGAATAAACACAAAATAACTGTCAGTTTCCCTCGGTCTGGTGCTCCATGCAAAATCTCACCTTGTGAAGTTTCAATGAGCATGAGAACAGTGACAAATCAGTCCAGAATTACACAGGAGGATCTTGTTAATGACTTCAAGGCAGCTGGGACCATAGTCACCAAGAAAACAAACCTAGCCTAGGCATTCCCCAGACCTTAATCCCACAAAAAAAAGAAATCTGTGGAGGGAGCTGAAAGTTTGAGTTGCCAAATGTCTATGAGGTACCGCTCTCTCCTGGTGCTCTTCCTACCTCTCCCAGAGCTCTTTCAGTGTTTTATTCTCTGGCTCTGCCTCCTCTCCCCAAGAGAGTGTTGATATTCCACAAGATTGTTGCTCATTTCCCTAAACTTTACCTGTCCAAAACAGAACTTCTGGTCTTCCATCGCTCAAGTGTTGCTATGCCCTTTTCTGTTTCACTCCAAGTTAACGGTTAAACATCACAGGCTCGCTGCCTATGTGTTCTCCTCAACTCTGACCTCTCCTTCACCCTCAATGGCCATTAAGTTGACAAATCCTGTCACTTCCATCTCAAAAGCTTAGAGCGCACCCTACCTTTATTTAACGCCTGATGTGGTTAAGGTGCTTGCCAATGCCGATGTCCTCTCTTCCCTTGACTACTGCATTCTGCTTCTCAGTGGTCTTATCCGCTCCCAATTTGCTCTGTTAGAGTCTATAATGAATGCGGTGGAGATGCTCAATCCTGGTACTTGCTTGCAAATCTCTACACAATGCTGCTCCAACCTACCTATCCTCACTAATGCACAAACATGTCCCGTCTAGGCCCCTATGCACTGCCGAAAACCTATGTGTATCCTCTGTTTGTACTCCTACCTTTGATGCTTGCCTTAGAGACTTCTCGAAGGCTATAACTTAGTCTACCAATTGTACAGAGCTGCAAAATATGTTGACGCTTCATAAATAAAAATAATTTTAGTCAATAATCCTTGTATGTGCAATCTGATATTCTATTGCCAATTTGTCAATGATATTTTAAGTATATGGAATGGCTCAATATTGAAAGTTGTCAGTTTGTCTCATGGTTGTATTCAAATCACTTGGTATTTACTTTTATATCTAAGCACGACAAAAAATTACTTTGAATTGTAGGATATATTTTAACCACCCCAATAGATTAGTAATATACTCTCGGGACAATTTTCTAGTATGCAATTTTATTGAACTTTTCTTTGATTCTAATAGAAAATCTAAGTCTTGCCCACCGATTTTCAAAACAAAGGGTATGATCTGAGGCTGGTTAAAGGGGATTTCATTAAGGCCAGAAAATTTAATAGGCTATCTTTATTTATTTATTTTTAATTGTTTATTTCCATACTATGGAGGTTACGCCTGAAGATGATCAGGGGTCACAAGCCAGTAATCGCCCATTAATGGATAATAAGCATTTTAAATAGATTACTTAAGTGTTAGCCATATTGTAGGGGCTATTCCCAATCACCAATTTAAGGGGAGAGAAGTTATGAAGTGTCCTACTCCAATAGCAGGGAAAGGTGTATCAAAATCAGAGTTTGGACCAGTTTCTGTCACTAAATCTAATGTTGCTTACATTAAAACTATAGGAATTGGCCAGGCAGCCAAGCAGCCCAGACATGTTCAGCACGAGCTCCCACGTCTGGGGACAAAAAACAGGGTACTACTCCTGCTCATCGAAACTCACAGACTGCAGACCACAACACTCACAACCGGGAGAGGCTGCTGCATTGAATGGTGCCTCGTTCGAGCTTCAGCACAGCCAACCTGTCACACCAAGGCTTGAGGCCTACATGAGACTGAGTTACGGACAGACGGGCGCTCTCTGGGCACATAAACAGTGACTGGGAACCCGGTAAAACACCTCTTCCTCCCATCCCCCCTCCCCAGGACTGGCGGGGATCCGGTCCACACATAGCAGCCTCACTCACCTTGATAATAGCAGGCAGCTGATATCGCACAAACCTGAGTACCCTTTCCACGTGACAAGCGGCAGCTGACGGCCGAGCAGGACAGGTGTGCTACAATAGACTGCATGCTACAGCACCTGGATGAGATATCTGCCTGTTTCTGGCAGTGGGCGGAGGTACGAGCAAAAGCAGCAGCTGGGGGACAGAAGACCAAACGGAGGTGAACAGGAAATGGGGTTCGAGAGGCCCAGTCGGGCACAACCACCCACCAAACACCTAAGCTGCACATACCCAGCCCACCCAGGCAGAAAACCAACAAGGTCTTCCACTCAAAGTACACCCCACAGTGGTAGAAGCACAGAGAGAGTGAGAGTGATGTTGAGTGTAACCCACGCCCAGAACTGCCACAGGAACGCACCCAGTAGCTTCCAGGGACTTTACGGTTACACCAAGACAAGGCATTGGCTGACAGTGCCATGCGTTTCCGAGCACGGTACCAGTGCCCCCCTCCCCTCTCCCCCTCAGGACACACTGCTACACTTAAGTCGGTCTGTACCCAGACAGACAATATTATTAAACCTGTGTTTTAGTTCATTTTATGTTTGAGTGACTTTTAGTTGCCTGCCTATGTCTACACATGCTATACAAAAATTGAGGTGTTCCAGGAGTTAAACCCTTTACTAGCCTGTTAGTATATACCCAGCTAGCATGTTATACAATTTTAGTCACCATCAGAAAGTCTAGCATAGTCTTCACATCTGAAAATGTGTTTCACTAAATTTGCACATGCTCTACAAAAACAGAAGCATTCCAGGGGTTAAACCCGCTATTAGCCTATTACTATATACCCAGCTAGCATGTTATACAATTTAATCAGCATCAGAAAGTCTAGCATAGTCTATACATCTGTAAATGTGTCTCACTAATTATTGCTACTGTACCTTCAATATTCACGCATGTCTATTAATCTAATATAAAATTGTGCACATTCAATCTACTACTCAGATTGTAAAGCTTGAAATTATGCTAGATCAGTGGTAGTCAACCTTTTTCTTCCTACCGCTCACTAATGCATCTTTCTTTATAGCCCACTATAACAGACAGGCACACATACAAGACACACATACAAAGACATACATACAAACAGACAGGCACACACATACATTCATACAGACACACAGACAGTCACACACACAGTCACACACACACACACACACCACATACATACAAAGACACACACACACACACACACACACACACACACATAAGACATGCATACAAAGACACACACAAGACATACATACAAAGAAAGACACAACACATACAAAGACAAGACACACATACACACAAGACATACATACAAAGACACACACAAGACATACATACAAAGACACACACAAACACACATTATATTTAAGTCACCTTCCTGTTTCCTACCTTTAAGGTGCAGGAGGGTGACTTTCCCTTGGGTCCAGTGGTGGCTCAGGTGGATGGGAGTCAAAGGTCCCAATCTGACTCACTGGTCTTCCTCACGCGCGGCTCTCAGTGTTAGCTGGGAGTAGTGACGTGCAGTCACTTCCTCCCAGCTCTGTGATGTAATCACAGGGGGCCCGGTCGCGCTGTTAAAGCACCCAGCGCTGACCGGGCCCCCTCACAATCCACATCCATCGGGTGTGCAGCATGGGCCACCCGATGGACCCCTTGGATGGTGGCCCCGGCGGTTTGCCGCCAGGGCTGCAAATGGTGATGGCGATACCCGGTCGCAGGGGTAACGCCGGCTCGCACCCGCCCGCCCACCCAATCTCTCTAAATGAGGAAATCCCTACCGCCCACCTGGAATCCTGAAACGCCCACTAGTGGGCGGTAGGGACCAGGTTGACAACCTATGTGCTAGATGATTGCCATTGTGGTACCTTCAAGCTTGTTTGTACCTATCCTTTGCACAACAAATAAATAAATAAATAAATAAATAAATAAATAAACTATAGGGATTGATAAGTAAAGAGACCCATGGCTGTGGTTATCTATCCTTGAGTGTTATCTTTAGGAAAGGTATTAACCTCAAGAAGCTGTTGGCCTCGACTCAATTGAGAGCCATTGAGAATTATCCATTTAAAACCTTAGTAAACAACCATATAAAATATATCAAAACCAAATGCCTTTCTGTATAAGGGATGTTTCTTTGATTGTGGGCTGTGTCAGGTGTGCAGGAGTATTAATAGCACTAAGACATATGAAATCCTCCTTAGATCAACAAGAAAAAGTATGTAAAATAAGGGTTATAACTAGATTTCACACAAAAAAATTGATCTATCTCCTCTCATGTCCTTGCCATCTACATTATGTGGGGAGAACAAAATGTCTGTTATACACAATAATTCACAAGCACATCAGAAATATCAAAAAGTATGTTGACAAGCATAATTACATTTCAAAAAGGTACATACTAGTGACCCACATTTATTAAAGTTATGGCAAATGAGAAAATGCAATTTAAAGAAGAGAGAATATTGTTGGAAAATTGGGAAGAACAGAAATGAAGTGGATAAAGGTTTTAGTTTTAAATAAATGTAAAACGCAAATGGATTAAAAACAACTATAAATATCTTTAAAAAAAAAAAATCCTATATAGATATAATAAAAATGAAATGTTATAAATATTTATTAAAGTTTCTGTATGACTAATTAAAATGTAAACCACATAATATTCTGCATGAAAAAATGGTTATTATACTTGAATATTATGTATGAATTTAAATAAATTTTATTAAATATTTTGTGAATTTGTTCAAATCGTTTTTATGACCAGAATGCAATATTGGAATAAAATAGAAACTTAACAGTTGTAATGTGGAGTAACAAGGAGGGAAGTGGAATTAATAAAAAGGGGTGGGGGGGGGTTGGATTCCATCCTTATGTATCAAAGTTTGAAATAAAATAGTTTGTGAACTTGATGACATTTCAATTTTTTTTTTCTTCATTTTTGTTGTGCTGTGCAAAGAACAAGGATAACATGTCATTTTTATTTTTTTTTATTTTTTTTTATTCAACAGTAAAATCATATTGCTTGAAAGCAGACTCTATTAAGTAGACTCTTCCAAGTAGGAGTTAGAAAACCAAGAGTGAATTTGAGTGGTTGGTATTTTATTTTTGTTTAATCTGTTTAATTAGCAGAGTTTTTTTTAAAAAAAGGAAAACAATTATTTATTTTTTATTTTATTTTTTTAATTTTTTTTTTTTCTGTGTTCTGTTTTTTCCCCCTCTTTTGTGCTGCTGCTTGATTGATTGGAGGAGTGTTCGGTAATTGCACATGTGTGGGATTTGTATTCCCATAAAGGCACACCCCTAACTCACTGAGCTTGCTCACATTGCTTGAAAGCAGACTCTTACAAGCAGGAGTTAGAAAACCAGGAGTTGAAACTAACAAGGGGTTTAAGCTAACAAGGTAAAGGGTCATAGCTATCTGCAAAATGGAGATAGGACAGAAAGAGATGGGCTTTATCTCAGTATAAGGGGGGTGGAGACAGGGGGAAGGGCAAGCTCAGAACAGAGAAGGTATGTAATGTTAATAATTCACAAAAAGTACAAGTGAGCACAATATAGTGTCCTTTGAAATAAACTAAAAAAAAAACTAAAGCACATGGGATATACTAAAACATATTTTTTAAAAGGCCAATTTCTATAAGTTAAGGGCAGCTTTACAATATATTGACTGGCATAAACTCTTTAGTGAAAATAACACTGAAGATAAATGGAACATCAACAAATATTAGAAAAGTACATTTCTCAGTATGTAAAACTCGGTAATAAATATAAAAGAAGCAAATTAAAACCAATGTGGCTTAGTAGAGAAGTAGAACAAGAGATTAAAAGAAGAAAAAGGCATTTAAAGCATTTAAATCGGACAAATCAGATGCATCTTATAAAAGATATAAGGAAGCCAATAAAGTGTAAAAAAAGGCGATTAGATTTGCTAAACTTCAAAATGAAAAAAAACGATAGCTAAAAAGAGAGCAAAACTAACCCCAAAGCATATTTTCTTAAGTACATAAATTCTAAAAAAAACTAAAAATTCAAGTGTAGGTACACTAAAAACTGAAACGGGGGTGTTAGTTAATGAAGACCAGGAAAAGGCAAGAATTTTAAATAACTATTTCTCCTCCATATATATTAAAGAAGAACCCATGGCAATAGATATGCAAATGATTGCGACTAAAAACTTGCAGAATAATTGTAATTGGTTAACTCAAGACAAGGTGCTGCAGCAACTAAATAAAGTTAATATAAACAAAGCTCCAGGGCCTAACGGTATCCATCCACGAGTACTTAAGGAACTAAGTGTAGAAATAAGTGAAACTGTTTTTAATCTTTCAAGATTATTTTCTTTCAGGAAGTGTTCTGGAGGATTGGAGGAAGGCAGATGTGGTTCCTATATTCAAAAAAGGTATAAAAGCCTTGCCTGGAAATTATAGACCTGTGAGCTTAACTTCCGTGGCTGGGAAAATATTTGAAAGGTTATTAAGGGATAATATTCAATAATTCATTGAGAACATGGTTATCAGCAAAAATCAGCATGGTTTTATGAAGCACAGGTCATGTCAAACAAACGTGATTGTGTTCTACGAAGAAGTAAGTAGAAGTATAGATCAGGGTGTTACAGTGGATGTGATCTATTTGGATTTTGCCAAGGCATTCGATACAGTTTCACACAATAGATTAGTGTTCAAACTCAAGGAAATTGCTCTAGATGAAAATTCTTGTTCTTGGGTAGAACATTGGCTTAAAAATAGAGTACAAAGAATTGTTGTTAATGGTGAATTTTCAATCTGGACAGAGGTGGCAAGTGGTGTCCCTCAGGGGTCTGTTCTGGGACCCCTTCTATTTAACATGTTTATAAATTATCTTGAAGAAAGCTTTGAATGTCATGTTTCAGTGTTTGCAGATGACACAAAACAAGAAGAGGGACATGCAAATTAAGGAATACCTGGGGAAATAGACTGCAATAGCCCCCAAGTTAAAATAGAAAGTGTGACTGGGGAGACTAACAGCTTAGTAAGCAAACCCCTATTAAGGTAAACATGTAGACTTGATACAAAGATTAGCAGTATGCTTGATTAAAGAGGTAAATAACTAATAGACCTACAGATTAGAAGTAGGGATGAAAATTGGAACAATTAAAAGACCACCTACATGGTAGCCATAATGTTCCTATATATAGGAAAAAGACATGCAGATTAAGGAATGCCTGAGAAAATAAACTGCAGTGACCGCCCCAAGTTAAATTAGATAGTACAACTGGGGAAACTAGCAGTATAGTTAACTAATTTATATTAAGGTATGGACCTAAAAATCCCAGAGGAAATAAAGGTGCTTCAATGTATGTGATGAAGAGCCTTTAGGTAAGCGTTAGCTGGATCTTATACCATAGATTGATCGTTTGGTATCTAGTAAGATGATATAACCGATCCTGGATGTAGTTACATTATATATATATATATATATATATATATATATATATATATATATATATATATATATATATATATATATATATATATATATATATATAAATTTATTTATTTATTTTTTTATTTTTTTATTTTTTTATATCTTAACCTCTGGTTGTAATGGTAAAGATTGAAATTAGAACCCAAACGGATTCACCGCTAAAGAAAATGCATTCCTTGTCTATTAAAGCCCTAGTCTATTACTGCAAAGACACCCCCAGTCTAGGTATCCACTGTTCTAAACCTTAGATGCTCACAGGAGGTGGTCACTACCTTGAACTAAAAACTGAACCCAGACGGATTAGCTCCCCAAGGTAAGTAAATTTTGGTCTATAATGGCCCTAGTAATGCAATAGTAAAACCCTTAATGATCACAGAGGATTATCCCAGCCTCAGAACCAAACCTGACAAAGCAGTCAGTTAAATAAACAGGGGAGTAAAAATCAGCCGGGACCTAGTCATAATGCAAGCAAATTGGGACCAGCTTTCAAATCACATGAAAAAGAGAGGAAAAGGAAGGATAAAACAAATCTGAAAAATGCAACTAGGCATCAATAGCCGATATACCTACCCTCCCATACATTCATAGATTGGTCCATAAAGCTATAGATATTTAGCCATTTCATAAAGCACAATATAATAGTAACACTGTTCTCTTACAGTAAAGCATTGCTGTAGCTAAGGTTCACAGTTAAAGGAACACTATAGTCACCTAAATTACTTTAGCTAAATAATGCTGTTTTAGTGTATAGATCATTCCCCCTGCAATTTCACTGCTCAATTCACTGTCATTTAGGAGTTAAATCACTTTGTTTCTGTTTATGCAGCCCTAGCCACACCTCCCCTGGCTATGATTGACAGAGCCTGCATAAAAAAAACAAAAAACAAAAAAACAATGGTTTCACTTTCAAACAGATGTAATTTACCTTAACCCCTTAAAGACACATGACATATGTGACATGTCATGATTCCCTTTTATTCCAGAAGTGTGGTCCTTAAGGAGTTAAATAACTATCTCAATCTCTAAATTGAACTTTAATCACATATAGGAGGCTCTTGCAGGGTCTAGAAAGCTATCAACATAGCAGGGGATAAGAAAATCTTAATTAAACAGAACTTAAATAGAACTAAATAGGGCTCTCTTTACAGGAAGTATTTATGGAAGGCTGTGCAACTCACATGCAAGGAGGTGTGACTAGGGTTCATAAACAAAGGGATTTAACTCCTAAATGGCAGAGGATTGAGCAGTGAGGCTGCAGGGGCATGTTCTATACACCAACACTGCTTCATTAAGCTAAAGTTATATATAAATAAAATCAATTAGACAGTATGAGATGTTAGAACCCCCTACTTTAACTATCAAAGACAAATCTTTTGAAGGATAAAAATATCCACAAATGACACAAAAAAAGTATAAGCATTAATTGCATAATTGTCTCTAACAGCATTCCTAGTTGGTCTCTCATCTAAGTATTGGCCAGGCCCAAGTCTGGATGGCTTCTGAGATCTGGTGAGATTGGGCACTTTTCGACTGGTATGCCTATAGGTAGTCAGGTTTCCAGTGACAAGTTGAATACATGAAATATTAAAGGACCACTCTAGGCACCCAGACAACTTCAGCTTAATGAAGTGGTCTGGGTGCCAGGTCCTTCTAGGGTTAACCCATTTTTTTATTTTTTTTATTTTTTATAAACATAGCAGTTTCAGAGAAACTGCTATGTTTATCAATGGGTTAAGCCTTCCTCCAAATCCTCTAGTGGCTGTCTCATTGACAGCCACTAGAGGCGCTTGCATGCTTCTCACTGTGAAAATCACAGTGAGAGCACACAAGCGTCCATAGGAAAGCATTATGAATGCTTTCCTATGCGACTGGCTGAATGCGCGCGCAGCTCTTGCCGCGCGTGCGCATTCAGCCGACGGGGCGGATCGGAGGAGGAGGCAGAGAGCTCCCTGCCCAGCGCTGGAAAAAGGTAAGTTTTCCCCCTTTCCCCCTTCCAGAGCCGGGCGGAAGGGGGACCCTGAGGGTGGGGGCACCCTCAGGGCACTATAGTGCCAGGAAAACGAGTATGTTTTCCTGGCACTATAGTGGTCCTTTAATTAGATAGATCAGTTAGTTTAGATTGAAACATTTATAATGTCTTAATAGGTAAAGTCTATATTAGAGACATGCGTCAAAACCCTTATTAGAACAAAAGATTGTCCTTCTGAATAAAAAGCATAAAATGTGTCAGTTGAATGAGGGAATAAGAAGAAAGTATAACAGCGAACATATACAACCAGAAACAAATTCCCTAAGGTAAATTTAAAGAAAAAGAATATATATGTGTTCCTGACCCTATAGTGATCCTTTAAGACCTTTTTTTTCCTAATTGCTTAAATTAGGGCTTTTCTTTTGCATCATTCATTTGAGCAGAGATATATATCTGCTCAGATGAATGATGCAAAAGAAAAGCCCTAATTTAAGCAATTAGGAAAAAAAGGTCTTAAAGGATCACTATAGGGTCAGGAACACAAACATGTATTCCTGACTCTATAGTATTAAAAACCAACATCTAGCCCCCCTGTGCCCCATCATGCCTCCATAAATATAGCAACATCTTACTGTATTCAAGCCTGAAGCTGTAACTTGGCATGCTGTTTGCCCGAAGTTGAACGACACTTATGGTCAGCTCCAGCCAGTGCTGGGTAGCGTGCGTCACTGCGGTGGTATGTCCGTCAGCGGTTAGTGTAGTCCTTCCATGGCTCTCAGGTTTTAAGGAATAGTGGATGTGTCTCTTATTTGTGCTGTGAGTTTGTCCCTAAGATGTGCCTCTTTGATATTAGAAGTGACCCTTTCCATCTCTGGTATGTCAATGTTTAAAAATATGTCAATCTTCCTCCCACAACCCCAGGTGCAAATTGGCATATGATGGGGAACAAGCCGTCCTTATTGCATTGCCTATCACCTGGTGGTAAAATTTGTTGTAAAAGAGAATGCAATTATGTGCCAGTATGAACTTGAGAAGTAATGACACAAATGCTGAGTGTGCCTGGAACTCAGATCCTCTTTTATCCAGGAGAAGTTGACCCCGTACAATAGTACCGTTTGAGGCTTTGGTGCACTCAGGAAGTATGACTTCAGTTACTGTGTTTTCTTTTACTGTTAGTGTAGAGATGGGTTTGTTGGTTTTCTTCATGAACCCAGAATTGAGTCTGAGGTACAGTTTTTTTTTTAGGATAGGCATCAGTGTACCTAAAGTAACAGGTTGTGAGGAAGAGCAGGCTGACACTTGATTGATGGTGTCCTCAGGGGGGGTTAGCTTCCACATACCTCTTAGCATCCAGATAGCTTTCACGGAGGTAGAGTTCCTTAATAGGCATAATAGTACCATCACTGGTTTTTACAAGACTAAATGGAGGTTTTGCTGTATTCCTCATAGGAACTTTCCGCTTTTCTGTGGATTGGATGTTCGGAGAGGTAGTCAACGTAGCAACCATAAATTCAGGACATTTGTTTATGAATTCTTCCTCTAAACACATGCCATCTGAGGGTGGAGGATCATAGTCCATCTCTACAGAAACACCTTCTGAATTCTGAGATTTTAGTAGATCATCTAAGAGAGGACAATAAGGTAAGTCTGCTTGGGTTAAGTCAGAAGTGCAGTGGTTATAGTCATTATTTAAAGAAGTATTTGTTTCAGAGGTCTGTATGTTTTGGGTCATCAGTTACACGAGAATTAGGTGGTCTTCTTGGACAGAAGGAAATGTGATGTCCTGTATCACCACAACAATAGCATAAATCAGTTTGACGTCTCTTTTTTTCCAGTTCAAGTTTAGTTAGTGGTTCTCTTTTCCTTGAAGGTTTGTTTGACTTTGTATTTTTCTCAGGATTTTTTCCTTTCAGGAGGATTGCTGGAACTTGATTGAACCACACTTGTTACGGCTTTGCATAATTCCAATAAACACTCAGCTAGGATCTTCAGAACATTAGTTAACCCTGGAGTCTACGGTTTAGGGCCATTACATGCTGTCATGATCTTGTGCAGGTCAGATAGGTGACATGCCAGGGTTGACTTCAGGTACTTTATTAGTGATTTTAGACATATTATGAAACTCGAGGGAAAACAGAATTTAGGTAATATGCCACAAAACAGGTCACTTGCAAATAATAAACAATGTCTGTAATTTCTAGTTAAGGTTCTAACACAGGCAGGCTGGTAACAGTGGAAGGCTGGTTTGAATTATAGGTAAGGGTGGAGCAGGTTTGAAGGTAAATCTGGAGCAGATTCACATGAGCCAGGATATGAAGTGATTCAGGTAAATCCCAACTTCAATGTAAAGGCTGCTGGAATTCTCAGGTATGGCCTTTTGTGGGATCTGTAATTAGTCCCAGGCAGGTGAGGACTGAGGAGGCTAGGGAGGCCACTAGTGGTGGAGAGCTGTAGCTTAGTTTAAAGGAACATAAATAAATGAAGATAAAACATAGTTGTCAGGATACGATCCTGACAGCCCTTTTTTTTTTTTTTAAGAATACTTTTGGAATTGCTTTGATTAGTAGGTGTGAGAGTCTGGGGTCGGGATTGAGACTGGGTTCTATGATTCCCCACTTCTGCATCTGACGAATCATAGTCAGATGTCATAGTGTTCTCTGAATTAGTCCTAGTTCTTTGTGTGACGGTATTGTACATTACCTTTTGGTAGTCATTAAAATTACAAATAAACATTTGATGGTTTTGTGATTTAATTGTCTGTTGGAATTTATCCAGATTTTGTTTTAAATTCAGTTCAAGTTGGTTAAACAAAGGATCGAACTGAAATTTATGTATTTTCTCAATTTTTTGCCCTAATTTTTTTATTAGTTTCTAATAATTTCACTTTTTCGTACTTGCAAATGATCTCCATGAATTTCTGTGAGCAAATATCGTCCGCAGCCTCCCACTTCTTAAGCAATTCCAAACTGTCCGCAAAAGATCAAGGTATGTTACAAACTCTTAGCCCCCTTGGTATCATATCTTTTCAGTGATGTTCAATTGTTCATTTGAGAACACACTACCTGCATCGTTGCACTAAACCTTTATATCTGGTTTACTAGAGAGGAAACCTGCCATACTGGTGTGATGCCTGTGTGTTAATTAAAGCAACAACCTAGGTATTGAAACCTATGAACATATTACAAAAAACCCAACCTCAGTGAGAGAAATCCCTCACCGAGCCTGTATTGGTTGCGGAGTAATTAAACAGGGGCAACCCCAGATAAATATGAGAAGAAAGAAAATTGTAACGAGCTGGTTATTAGTTAAAATGGTACTGCTTTATTAGATCCCACATAGGGAAAACACACTTAGGTGAAAAAAAAAAAGAAAAAAAAAAAACATGTGAAGTGAAAAATCATTAAAATTGGTTAAATGCAAAGAATGTTTATAGATTAAGAAGAGACAGCTCTATCTATGCTTTTATTCACAACCCTCTGCGGAATGACAATGTTGCAAAACCTCATAGCTCACTTATTTATTGAAATAAAGTGCACATACCAGTGTATCATGGCTACATATGTTATTAAAATGTTGTTACATATCATAATAAGATGTTCAGAGTTAGAGCTTTAATAATAATAATAATAATTATATATATATATATATATATATATATATATATATATACACACATATATATACATATATATATACACACACACACACACACACATACATACACATACCAGAGGCAAAATTAGCAATGTGCTTAGGCAGGGAGGTCACCAAGAGGGCATATTGAGACCCCAATCTCCAGGCACCTGAGGGAACACCACTCGGGTGACTCCAAGGGATTTGGAGGTAAACAGTTATTTAAGATGCACATTTTTTTTAATTGTAACACTGCAGGGCTTGTATATTTACTTACCTGTGAGTGCAACATGAAATATGTAGGAAAAACCTCTCATCCTTTTAAATAAAGGATTAAATAACATGTGCGGTCACCAAAAGGGCTTATTGAGACCCCAATCTCCAGGCACCTGAGGGAACACCACTTGGGTGACTCCAAGGGACTTCGCTTTTGTGGTTTGGAATTAGTTAAACAGGACCAGAGAAGTGTTGACTATGACAGATTCTTAAAACAATGTGAATGCTTCTGCATTTTTAGACTTAAGACCCTTTTTCCTAAGGGCCTAAATGAGGGTTTCTCTTTTGGACCATTTATCTGAGCACTTATATATTGATATACTTTTTCGAACATATGTTATGCTTTTTTATTCAGAAGGACAATCTTTTTGTTCTAATAAGGGTTTTGGCATTTCTCTAATATAGACTTTACCTATTAAGATATTATATATGTTTCAGTCTAAACTAACTGATCTATCTAATTAATATTTCATGTATTAACTTGTCACTGGAAACCTGACTACCTAAAGCCATACCAGTTGAAAAGTGCCTGATCTCGCCATATCTCAGAAGCCATCCAGACGCGGGCCCGGTTAGTACTTGAATTATTCTGATATTAATCTGGGAATACCCCCCTTTAATTACTCCTAAACCAATACGGGCTCAGTGAGGGTTTTCTCTCACTGAGGTTGGGTTTTTTGTAATAATATTACTATTGAGTGTTTACTACCATTGTATTATCAATTTATTTTAAAATTATTATACTCCCCAATGTCTTTTGAGGACTAATTACAATATAATGAGGTCCCTTTAAAACAGGAATGCTTTGGACAATTGTCTATGATGGGATTTAGATTGGAGTTCACAGAGCGCAAAGCATTTAGGATCCTGTAGTTTGGCTGATGGGTAGTAGTGACCCTTTTGAATGAGCACACTACTGAAAAGATTAAATACCTTGTAGGCAAGAGGAGAGACTGCAGGACAGGTAAAACTAGAGCGTCACTCCCAGAATGGAATACAGCTAGATATCTTTGTGAAAGTCCACTTCTGAGCCATCACACCTGTGGGGGGGGGAGTTCTGATTGGATAAGGAGGTGTAAAGGGCAGACCATTCAGGGATTTAAAAGATGGAGCTGGGAACAGTGCTAATATGCAGATTGAGGAAGCCTATGGAAGGCAAAGTGTGTCTTACCAAGGAGAGAGGACTCTGGACTAATTGTTTAGTGTATTTTATCATGTTATTTTGTTTTTATATTTGAAAAATTAATACATTTGGTTTTATACTTACCTCTTCTCCTCTACATTGGTACTATGAATGCTGGCTCAAGGGGGTAGTGTCAGCCCATACATTTAAACAATAACTGCATTCGTGAACCCAGTTTAAAAGGCTCAATGCAAGGTGAGCAAGTAGTCAAATATTTGACAATTTCAACTAATTGATGGTTAAATACTACACCTAGATTTTATTCCATTTATTCCTCCATCATTTGTGGAGAACTTGTGGAGAATTCCTAAAGACTGAAGGGATATAAGTATGGTTGCCACCTGAAAAGTGAGCACAATAGGGGTGTTTAGAGCCTATATATTTAAAAGAAACTTAGAATTTAGAGTTTGCCTCTTTAGGTGTTAGTTTTTTTTTTTTTTTTTTTTTTTTTTTTTTACATTTAGCACAATTGCACACCATTATCAATTATTACACAATTTGAGGGGCAAAATTGTCTATGCTTTATAGCACTGCACTCTTACTTTAATGTTTTAGGTGATGGGGTCCATCACCTTGTTTTCATAGAATTATTTATCTTTCTCTATTTGTCCTGTTACTTTGAGGTATGGAGAAATATATTGCATAACCTGTTGTCATTTATATTTGTTCATCTTTGCCAGCATATTGTGAGGCATATGATAATGTATAATTAGGGATCATCCTAGCTTACAGTGAACAAATAATCTAAATTGTATTAAAGACAGGAGGCGAATATTTGCTTATCTTTCTTAACTGAAACTTCCAGCAGGAAAGAAATAGTTAACAAAGTTGTAAAAAATTCAACCAATCATAACACATCATAGAACAATATAGTGCCACCAGACTCCTCCCACTTCCTATTTCTTAGGTGGTGCAGATCAGGAGTAGAATCAACTTGTAAACTGGAAACATTCTGCGGTTTTAGCCCGTAGCAAGTCAACCAAGTAAATGTGTAGATGAAGAGGGTAATCCGAAATTTTCATACTAAAAGAGAGAAAAGTATAAATATGCATTCTAAAATGATAGCTCAGATTATCCTGATGCGTAATGGTACAATATGGTGTAGGGTTCTATGTTACCAGATTAGCGAATTGTATGCCTACAAATCAAACTGCAAGAGAGTGTACAATTTGCCTTACCAGACTAGCAAAGTGTATGCCTACAAATCAAATTGCAAGAGAGTGTACAATGCAATAACCTCAGAACAAGAGACTTACCTTGAGGGTGGGTTCAAGAGTGAACGAAGGGAGGGAAAATATTTGTCTCCTGTCTTTAATAAAATTTAGATTATTCGTTCACTGGAAAATAGAATAATCCCTAATTTTATGGCAAGACAGGAGGCTTCATATTTGCTCTTTTAACCCTCTTGAATAAAGGAACAAGCCGCATGTGGTGTTGGTTTAAAATAAAAGGTGCAAAAGGTAGATTCTCTTGACCAATCTGCGGAGGCTAAAATATCCGCCAGTGAGCTGCCTGCGCTTAACGCAGAGGATGCGGCCGCTCCCCTAACGGAGTTTGCTCCGAAAGAGCTATTAATTCCTGCTTGGGTAAACAACCATCTTATCCATGCAATGGTGGGGGAGGAGACCAGTTTGTGAGGCTTAACGTAAGAGACAAACAGAGGTCCGGTAGAGGGACGCAGAGAGATAGTGTTGTCAATGTAACAACGGGTGCACAGGGCTACACCGAGTGACGGCCTGTCGGGAAAGTATGGATAAAAGACTGACGAAGAATTTGTCTTAGTGTGTCTAGTAATGGTAAATCTGACACCGTCTGGTGTGAAGGTCACAGCGTGAGAGTCAAAGGCTTGAACGTCTGTAACCCTGCAGAAGGACACCAGACACAGTAGGAGGGCCAATTTCGCAGAGTTGGCGTAAGGATAAGGCCTCATAGGTGGCCAGGAATCCAACAGTGTGAAAACCTGAGAGATATCCCAGAACGTAGAGTATTTGGCAGAAGGTGGCCTCGTCAAACGAATGCCCCGTAAAAGTCTGCACACGGAAGGGTGTTTTCCAACCAAGGAATTATCAATAGTGTCATGGGATGCCGAAATGGCAGAACGAAAAATATTAATTGATCGGTAATATTTACCCTGATCGAAGAGCGATGATAAGAAATTTAAAATGGGTGAAAGAGGTGTTGAAACGGGATCGAGGTCCCTCTCCAGACACCAGCTAACCCAACTGTGCCATGCGGAGAGGTAGGTTTGTCTGGTTCCTGGAGCCCACAAGTCCCAGAGGAGTGTTTGAGCTGTGCGTGAAAGACCCGCGACATGCCAAGCTCCCCTGAAACTGTCCAAGCTACCAGTTGAAGGTGGCTCTGTAGGGCGAGAGGATGGTAATTGCCCATTGGGTTCCTGAGGACTCGAAAGGAACGAGGTAGAAGGATGGGGTAGTCTACTGATAGTTCCAGGAGGGTGGGGAACCAGGTCTGAGCCCTCCATAGAGGGGTGATTACTACTATCCTGACTTTTTGCTCTTTGACCCGGTGAAGGGTCCGTTTAATCATCGAGAAGGGAAGGAAAGCATAGGCCCCCTCCCGTGGCCAAGGTTGCAGAAAAGTGTCGACTGCCAGAGATAGAGGGTCTGGTAGCCAGCTGAAGAAATTGTCTGTCTGACGATTCAGGCGAGATGCAAAGAGATTGAGTGTGAGGGGTCCCCGTAGGAGATGGATGTGATGGAACAGGAGAGGGTCTAATTGCCAGTCGCTGGCATGCCTCCAATGACGCGAAAACCAGTCTGCGACTAGGTTGTCGGACCCAGGGAGATATTCCACTCGGATGGACAGATTCCGGTCCAGACAGAACTGGTACAGGTCCTTGGTGAGGTCGGACAGAAGTTTGGATTTGGATCCTCTGAGTCGGTTTACATACCGCACCGTGGAGACGTTGTCCATCCGTAGTACCAGGGAGCAATTGGAGGCATCCTTGGCAAAGCTGCGGATCGCGAAGGATCCAGCAATTAGCTTGAGGCAATTTATGTGGACAGCCTGTTCCGATGGGGACCAAAGACCCCCTGTGGAGGTTTGGGCACACGTAGCACCCCAACCCAAGAGGCTTGCATCGGATTCCAGAATAAAATCTGGTTGAGACCCGAAAATTGCTTTCCCATTCCAGGCTTCCATGTTGCGAAGCCACCAATGAAGTTCGATGATAACTTTGTCTGTCAAAGATATGAATTGATCGTAAGAGGTTGAGCGATGCAAGTAGGATGTTTTCAATCGTTGCATTGCTCTGTAGTGTAAGGGCCCGGGAAATATAGCTTGGATAGATGCGGACAGGAGTCCAAGAATGTGTGCAAGGTCGCGGAGCCTCGGCCGCTGTGAAGAAAGTAATTTTTGGATTTCTTTCTTTATGTTTTTTTATTTTGGGATAAGGCAGCTGCAAAGTTGCCTGGACTGAGTCTATTTGAAAGCCCAGAAAATGGACTACCTGAGATGGTTCCAGATCTGATTTGTGGAAATTTATGACAAACCCAAGGTTTTGAAGGAGGGCAGAGGTCATGTGTGTGTGTTTGCAAAGCAAATGTGGGTCTTGGGCCATGATCAGGATACCGTCAAGATATATGATGGAACGTATTCCCCGAGAGTGGAGTAGCACCATGACCGGCTTCATTAACTTGGTTTAACACCAAGGGCGGAGCAAAGTCCGAAAGGAAGGCAGGTGAACTGCCAAATTTCGCCTTGACAGAGGAATTGAAGGAACACACGATGACTTGCGATTGGGACCGAAATGACAATGGGCAGATCCTTGAGGTCGAATCTGGAGAACGCAGAGTAGGTCCCTGAGAAGAGAGATACCTTCCATCTTGAAGTGGTGATATGTGATAAACTGATTCAGCTCTTTGAGGTTGATAATAGGACAGTGGTCTCCCGTCTTTTTCCGTACCAGGAACATGTTGCTGAGGAAAGTATAAGGGAAAGGCGAGGGTTCGATCGCCCCTTCGTCTAATAGTTTGTGCAACTCTGAGTCTAAGGTTAGTTCGTCTGTTTGTGACATCTCTAAGGGTTTTGGAGGTTAGCTCTGAGTGGGGTGTGTGAGAAAATCTATTTTGAAACCCCTGACTGTATGGAGGATCCAGTGATCCTGAGAAAGTAGTTTCCACTGTTGGAAAAAAAAAGGGTTAATCGACCTGCAATTGACACATTCTTTAAATAAGTAAGGTACATTACCTGAAGCAGTGCGTCCGCGCAGGGATGCAGAGCCATGTCCTCGAATAGAGCCTCTGGAGCTGAAGAGCTGTCTGTGGTAGGCTCTTGTGGGTCCAGAGGACCAATGGTCTGTGGGTCGGGGCATGTAGCCTGCAAAGGCTGCACTACTGGTAGCTCGGCCCCTGAAGCGACCAGCTCTGCCGGAAAAACAATGAGTTTGGGAGATGAAGACCCTGCGTAGTGAGGTCTGGGCTTTATTAAGCGTAGTAAATACCGAGACATGCTTAGAGAGGTCTTGCATAAAGCTGTCACCATATAGAAGACCATCTGCTTCTGGTCCCAATTCCTTAGAGCTTAAGTCTACTAATTTGGCATCATTTTTATAAAGTGCCGCTTTTCGTCTTTCTACTGAAATTGCCACGTTTGCATTGCCTAATAGGCATAGAGCTCTCTGAGCTCATTCTCTGATAGTGTGTGGATCAAATTCACCACTAGTGAGTGCCTCATCTGCCAGGATAAAAATCTGGATTATAGGACCTGAAATGTCCAAAAGCTTGTCTTGGGCTGCTTTCATCCCTTGTTCTATACCCTTACGAGGGTCTTTGCCGGATTTAGTCAAAAAGGTGACAAGCATTGGGTCGAACTCAGGGGTAGAGGCAACTTTGCCCGGAATAGTAGGTCTTGGGCATTCAGCCCTCAGTTTATTTCTAAGTTCTTTTTTGAGGGGCTTGTGAAGCCACATTTTGCAGTAACTGGCAATGTCATCAGGAGGGGTCCATTCCGCAGACCGTGGGTGACGAATCACCCTTGGATCAAAAAAGGGGAGGCCTGAAGCATCCAGGAGGGTGTCTGAGGCAGGCTCTTTAGATGGAGGGGCACCCTTAGCATCCTGAAAATGGAAAGTTTCTTTAATAAACTCTGATGTTGAGGAATGCTGGGGCATATTCACCGTAGGATCCTCATCAGAGTAGGTGGTGTCATAGTCGTTTAAAATATGATCAGCTAGTCGGGAGGTAGAGCCCTCTAGAGGGTCTGTCGGATTCTGCATAGTAAATGGTTGGGAATGTTTGAGGATTTTCGCAGGAGCTTTGCCTTTGCCCACAGTAGCGCTATTCCCTTTCCAGGGTCTTTTGCGCGGGGCACTTTCTTGGTCTGAAAGGTGGGAATCCTCTGAGTCAGAGGGTTGGTGTGTAGCGGGATGAACCTCTGTAGTAGATTGCTCATGATAAGCTGCCAGAGCTTTGGGAATGGACTCCGCAATAGTGGCAAACAGCCAATCCTGAAGTTCTGCAGAAATAGCAGGGTCTTGGTGTTCCGACATAATGTTTATTTTATGCAAATGACAATGGGCAGATTAACCCCTTAGCGACCGAGGACGGTTCAGGACCGTCATCGGCATTTTTGCCTTGAGGACCGATGACGGTCCTGAACCGTCCTAACGGTCTCCGTTACTTACCTGATCGCCGTCGTTCCCCCGGCGGCGATCAGCGTGGCTCCGGTTGTGGGGAGACTGCCTGCAGCCCAGACAGTCTCCCCACACTGAATTAGGACCCCTGTGGCCATGTGATCGCTTAACACAGCGATCACATGGTCACAATAGGTGTCCATGTGTGTGCCTGCAGGGGGACTGCCTGTGCTGACAGGCAGTCTCCCTGCTAGTGTAAAATCAAAAATAAAAAGTTAGTGTTAATAAAAAAAATAAAAAAATTATATATGTGTATATATGATATATAGACATATATCATATATATATATATATATATATATATATATATATATATATATATATATATATATATATATGCCATACTATGTATTTTATATTAATATACTTATATTAATACACCAATAATTAAATTACACGTATATATATATAATATATATATAATAACTATATATATTATATATATATATATATATATATTATTATAAAATATAAATAATAAGTAATTTAAATTAAATAAAAAAAATTTAAAATAATAAATAAAAAATAAATATATATATATATATATATATATATATATATATATATATCTATATGAAATTTTATTCTAACTGTATTTTAAAATTTATATATATATATATTTATATCAAAATACACTTAGAATGAATTTGTATATATATCTATGTATATAAAAATAAATAAAAATAATAAGAAATATACATATGTCCATATACAAAATGACATAAATAATTATATAAATATACACGTAGACTTCAAATATATAAATACGCATATATATTTAAATTCTATGTGCGTATTTATGTAATAGTTTTACATAATTCAGTAATTTTATTGATTGCAATTTAAGGGACCTGCCTGCCAACCCAGGCCGAAATTCCAGAGAATTGAATTTGCTAGCACTGTATTTTACCCTGTAACGTTCTACGACACCCTAAAACCTGTACATGGGGGGTACTGTTTTACTCGGGAGACTTCGCTGAACACAAATATTAGTGATTCAAAACAGTAAAACATATCACAGCGATGATATTGTCAGTGAAAGTGACTTTTTTTGCATTTTTCACACACAAACAGCACTTTTACTGATGATATAATTGTTGTGATACGTTTTCCAGTTTTTAAACACTAATATTTGTGTTCAGCAAAGTCTCCTGAGTAAAACAGTACCCCCCATGTACAGGTTTTATAGTATTTTTGAAAGTTACAAGGTCAAATATATGGGTCAAATATTTTTACATTGAAAATGGCCAGGTTGGTTACGTTGCCTTTGAGAGCGTATGGTAGCCCAGGAATGAGAATTACCCCCATGATGGCATACCATTTGCAAAAGAAGACAACCCAAGGTATTGCAAATGGGGTATGTCCAGTCTTTTTTAGTAACCACTTGGTCACAAACACTGGCCAAAATTAGCGTTCAATTTAGTTTTTTTACTTTTTTCACACACAAACAAATATGAATGCTTACTTTGGCCAGTGTTTTCGACTAAGTGGCTACTAAAAAAGACTGGACATACCCCATATTGAATACCCTGGGTTGTCTACTTTAAAAAAAATAGGTACATGTGGGGTGTTATTCAGAGATTTATGACAGATAATAGTGTTACAATGTCACTATTGATAAATTAAAAAAAATTATGTTTTGAAACCGCAATATTCTACTTGTACCTATAGCCCTATAACATGCAAAAAAAAAGCAAAAAAGCACGTAAACATGGGGTATTTTTAAACTCAGGACAAAATTTTGAATCTATTTAGCAGTTTTTTTAATTCGCTTTTGTAGATGAGTAAAAGATTTTTCAAGTAAAAGTCAAAAAACATGTATTTTTTTTCAATTTTCCATCATATTATTTTATTTTATTTTAAATTAAAATACATGAGATTATATAAATAATGGTATGTAAAGAAAGCCCCTTTTGTCCTGAAAAAAACAATATATAATTTGTATGGGAACAGTAAATGAGAGAGCGGAAAATTACAGCCAAACACAAACACCACAAAAGTGTAAAAATATGCCTGGTCGCAAATGTACAACATCGCAAAAACAGTCCAGTCCTTAAGGGGTTAATAACTACAGGTAAGTGTAGTAAAATTGTAAGGCAGTGTTGACAAATGAAAAAAAAGATGAGGCAACTCAACTAGTATAATGGAGAGGTGGGGGTCACCCACACAAACTGAGAATCAGTGGGGGTCACCCACAATTATTAGACCTTTAACAAATGGTGAACAGCAACAGAACGAATATATATATATATATATATATATATATATATATATATATATATATATATATATATATATATATATATATCAGATAAGTAAGCCCAATGAGGTAGGGTAACCCACTATAGAGGACCCTGTTGAATTAAAGTGGGGGTCACCCACAAATAAACAAAGTGGTATCTGCCACACTTTTATTTTTTAAATATTATAGGCAGTAGTTATGGTGGCGTTAAGTAGAAAAATAAAGTGGGGTTCACCCACAAAATAAGCAGGGTGGTGTCAACCACTTTACAGAGTATTATGGGCAGTAGTTATGGTGGGGGTCACCCACAAAGGAGAAAGAAGGTGGTGTCAGCCACACAACAATTTTATTAAAGTAAATTATACAGTGAAGTATTAATGTAACACAAAGGGGGTCACCCAATAGTTTAGCAGGCAGGACTTGGCTAGTCAGCAAAATAATCTGCAATGATAAAGGAGAGATAATGATCAGTGTCCTGATCTTCAATGGTAAATCCTTGATATATGGGTAATTAAATAATTAACTTACCTTCCGGGTAGGGATGCAGTAGTGCCCACAGATGAAAAACCGGTCCGCTGGTAAAAAACGTGAGTGTTGCGATTAGAAAATGGCCGCCGCAAGTAAAAAGGGGGCGGTGCGGTCGTTAGGCGGGAAACAGATGAAGAGAAATGGCGCGAAGGTTGTACCAGGAGACCAACGGTCTGTTACACTAGTTATTCTCCTGACGGGAGGGAAGGAGGGAAGGGAAAGCCCGGTGGGCTGTTGCTGTTTGCGGCCGAAACTCTGCTTACACTTAATTAAAGGTGTAAGCCACTTAAAATGAATAAAATAAAGGAGGATGTAAACCACTTAAAAAGGGATGCTAAAACACTTGAAAAGATAACATTGAACATGTGAAATAAAACAAAAGGTTTTTAAAAAGGAAATTACCCTGAGGAAAGCTGTAAACTGTTATTGAGCTATCTCAGGATAGGATTAACAGATAAAATCATCAAATAATCTAAGACAATTTTAAATTTAAGTAATGAGGCTAGGCAACGTAAGTAGAATAGACTCACCTGGGAAGCAAGCAGCAAAGAAAGAGGAAGTGGGAGGAATCTGGGGGCACTATATTGTTCTATGATGTGTTATGATTGGTTGAATTTTTTACAACTTTGTTAACTATTTCTTTGCTGCTGGGAGTTTCAGTAAAGAAAGATAAGCAAATATGAAGCCTCCTGTCTTGCCATAAAATTCTACTTCTTGTCCCTATGTCTTACAGTATGTCAGACAAACATCTAGAAGCCTTGAGGCTAGATTTAAGAAACATGGAACACCTATAACTAATTCTAATATGAGTCATCAGCGGCCTTCATCTCCATAGCCTTTTTTTTTTATAGTAAGATGCCTGTGTGTGTGTGTGTGTGTGTGTGTATGTATGTATGTATATGTAAATATGTGTGTGTGTGTGTGTGTGTGTAACTTTTTTATTAAGATGTAAAATTTATCTTTAAATTAATTTCTATCATTCACTAGTGGCCATTTTAAACTAGGACTATAATTTCAATTTGATATATATATATATATATATATATATATATATATATATATATATATATATATATATATATATATATATATATATATCAGACAAATAGTAATTTCAGGCAAAAAGCAAAACATATTTTACCTAGTAGTTATTTTGGATTTAAAACAAAATTTGCCTAGGCAAAATCCTTTTGTCTAGCTGTCATTTAGGCAAAACATTTTGCATACTTCCTACAAGTTTTTTTTTTCAAAGCCATTTGCCTTTAATGGCCTCTTCTTACCAAGAGCAACTCAGGCAACCTGGGAAAGTGGCCACTGCACAGCAGTAAACACCCAGTCATCCTCAGAAAGTGTCCCTTTACTTGCAAATAAGTGACCAGGAACCATAGAAAAAGGCCTAGGTTGTCATAGCTTGCAAATAAATGTCCCAAGTGCTCAAGGATTGCAACCGCTGATTGCCAATAGACACCAAGGCTTTAAAGGAAGTTACCCCTGTTCACCAATATGTGCATAAGTGGCCCTTGCCAACTTCAGAACCTTTAAGGAAGCAGGCCCTTGCTCGCCAATATGCTCCCAATTACCCAAGTAAAGTGGACCCTTAGTGTGAATAGGTTCACAGTCAACCTTTAGGAAAATGGCCCCTGCATGGCAATTGGCTCCCAGGCTTCCCAGGAAATTGTCTTTGCTAGCCAATACTTAAATATGTTGAAGTAGAAAATAAAACAAGTTTTAATAAAAACAATTTAAAAAGTCAAACAAAACCTACCTTGTTTCTATGCCACCTAATGCTGCTAATGTGTTGCAAAATGCATACAGTAAACCATTATCAAGCAGCATATCTGCTACTTTTGAGCAGGAGTTGAGAATCTGAAGCAAAAGGCAGAAGGAATTGTGCAGTAATGTGACATCATATAAGGAATTCTCAATCAGTCCAAGCAGAGGTATGATGCACCATTTACGAAAAACGCTGGTATTTTTAATATCATCAACTTCAAACCTGTTTGAAGAATAAAACAAATTATATATCTACATATTATGAGAGCAGTAGCATAGAGATATTTCCAGAGATTTATAGAACATATATTCTTGCATTATGTATATTTTGATTTTGCCAATGTTTGATGATTTTCCCAATTTATAAGATACAGTATAACAGCTTTTTTTTTTTTTTTTTTTAATTTAATTTTATTTTGTTCAAGCTGGTTTTCTTTCCAAAGTGACGGTCAGACAAATTGCACTTACTATTAATCCTTCATGTGCCCACATAATGTATTAAATATAAGCTACTTTTGCATATCAGGTTTTATGTTCCATTTTTTTATTTTATTTTTAATCTTTCTTTTATTGAAACAATGCTTAATACAGTACATAATGCAAAAAAGTAAAGGAGTCAGTGCATATGGCAAGATATTAAAAATACAGTTGCGTGTATATTCCTGGATAATCTTTTTTTTTTTTTTTTATATCTTTTTTATATCTTTTTTTTTTCCCATCGATTTGTTATATTATAGAATTGAGTGATATTACCATTGACATTATGCACTTAGCAGAACCCCCCAACACACAAACACACACACACAAACACACACACACACACACACTTCCCTATTGTCCTGTCAGTCCCCTGATGTCCCTGTTACATCGTATTGCTTTGAGAAGGGGTTCCACTGTCAGGGAAAATAGTAACGGGGCATCCCTGCCTGGTCCCGTTCCAGACTGGGAAGACATCAGTGAGCACTCGGAGTGTGCTGTCCCGGGCCACCCTGCCAGAGATAAATCTTGTTTGATCCAGGTGGCGCAGCCTCGGGAGGAATGTGTTCAGCTGGCTTGCTAGGACCTTGGTGAAAAGTTTAATATTCACATTTAAGAGGGAAATCGGCATGTAGCTGCTGCAAAGCTCCTGTAGGATAGTTATTGTTGCTGCCTGGGTTTCGTCGTGGAACCTACTTCCAGACGTGAGTGTGTTTAGTGCTCTGGTGAGTTCAGGGATGAGCGTGTCTCTGAATCCCTTGTAGTATTCCAAAGAGAACCCATCTAGTCCCGGCATCCTACCGATTTTTGTCGCCTTAAACGCGACCCTCATTACTTCTTCCGAGATTGGTGTGTCCATGAGGTCCGCCTCGTCACGGGTCACAGTTTTGGAGATGAAGTTTGAGAGGAACTGTTGAATTGCCTCTGTCTTAGTGAGTGCGGGATCGCCATAGTTTTGATGTCTTAAGTTGTTTAAGTTTGAGTAAAAAGTGCGGAATTCTGTCACAAGTTCCGGGTGCTGTGTAGTCTTGACCCCCTTGAGTTTCAACCTATGTACCTATGCACGGATCTGTTGTCCTCTGAGCATTTGCGTCAGGAGTTTACCCCCCTTGTCCGCGTGTGTGTAGTAAAAAAACCTGGATCTCTGTACGTGTCTGCAGTATTTCTTGACAGAGCCTGCAGTTGTCACCTGTGTTCCGTCAGTTCTATGTAGTCATCTCCTAGTAGGTTTCTTTTGTGTCTCGCCTCGATGTCCGTGATTTTGGCAAGCAAGTCTTCCATCTGCCATAGTGCTTCTTTTTTTTTTTTTTTTTTTGCAAGATGAATGATGAGGACTTTCAGGACGTTTTTATGGGCCTCCCAGATGGTGGTGATGGAGGTCTCACCTGGAACATTGTCTGAAAAGTAGGACACCAGTGCCTGGGCAATTTGGTCCCTGATCTCCATGTCCGCCAGCAAAGGATTCATTAAGTCTCCAGCTCAGTGTTTTGGGTCGCGAAAGTCCATCTCCATTATCGTGGTCAGACCAGTTGGTAGCCTCGATGGTCCTTTACCGTGGGATGCAGCGTTCTCCAGCAGTCTACAAGGTGTAAGTTTCTGAGGGCCTTCTGTATACCCTGGATAATCCTCTGTGGGATACTATTATGTCCTGAGGAGGAGTCAAGTTTGGGATCCAGTGTGACATTAAAGTCACCACCCAGAATGAGTGTGCCTTCCGTAAACTCAGAAAGGTTGTTCAGGACTCTGCGGATTTAGTGTGACTGATTCCGGTTGGGGACGAAAATACATGCAAGTGCATATGTCTGGTTTGCGATGGCGCCTTTTATGAAGATATATCTAGCCTCCCGGCCAGCTATAATGTCTATTTCTGTGAAGTATAACTTTTTTGAGGTAGGGTGGTAGCTGAAAAAGTTGTGAGAGTATGTTCTGTCTTTTAGGGCAGGGGCCGAGCCCTCAAGAAAGTGTATCTCCTGGAGGAATGCAATTGAGATTGTTTTTTGTCTTAGTCCCCATAGCAGATGCGTCCTGCGTTCCGGGATGTTCAATCCCCTGCAGTTTTTGGTGAGGATCCTCAGTGGGCTAGGGCAGTAGGACATTGTTGCTTCCCAGGAGACCATGTTGTGCGGTTGCAGCTCTCGCCGTTTGGGCCAAGAGCCAGAGAGAGCCGTGCAAGAGTGATGATGAGTGTTCTCTTAAGCTCTAGGGGCACATGTGATTCTGTCCTGGAGCATGATATGTCTGGCCCCACCAGGGGTCGCCCACCCACCAGGTGCTTTCCACCATCTCTGTACCAACCTCCTCCCCCTATTTTTTTTTTTTTTTTTGTGTCAGTATGTTATTTTTTTTTTTTTTTTAATTTATGGTGTACCCATGCTTGAGTCAATGAGTTGTCGATTGTCCCTCATGGTATATGCAGGTGTGAGTCCAAGCATGCCCTCATTACCCCCCTACCCCCAATACTGTGCCAAGTGGAGTCCCCATGTCAGAGGGAGACATAGGCTCTCAGCCTATCAAGATTCCCCAGTATCTGCTTATTGAAGGCATATGCAGCAAACTGAGGTGTCTTGGGAACTCCATGCATTGCAGCAAGATACCTAACCAGGTTTGGAGATCGAAGCAGTGGTGTGTCGGACATCAGCAGGCAGCAACATCCGCATGGGGATCAGTCTGTACGACTTGTGGTGCAGGTTCTCACTCCTCTGACTGGGCAGATCCACCATGAAATCCATGGCTAAATGTGTCCATGGAGTATTCGGTATCGGCAGTGGTTGTAGCAGCCCAGGAGGAGATTTGTGAGAGGCTTTAGAAACGGCACATATTTGACATGCCCCTACATAATCTTTGATGTTGTTCTTAAGTGTAGGCCACCAGAACCTCCTGGAGATAGCAGAGAGAGTTTTATGGACTCCAGGATGACCTGCTGTCAAATTATCATGGAATAACCCAAGTATTTTTTCCCTTAAAGGTGGTGAAACATAAAGTTTATCCAGAGGTCTCTCCACAGGTGTCTGAGTTTGATCTGCTATTATGGCACAGAAGAGTGGAGAAGAGTGGAGAAGACACTTCGGAAATTGTAGTGGCATTAAGGCATTCTGGAGGTATGATAGTGAAGGTCGTTCTTTAACAGGGTATGAGGTCGTTCTTTAACAGGGTTTTTAGTATTGTTCTCACATTTTCGTGATGAGTCTCTATATCCGGGGAATAGATGAGAATGTCGTCTAGATACACTAAAATGAACATGTGGAGATATTCTCTAAGGACATTGTTAATGAAATCCTGAAACACTGCTGGGGCGTTGCACAGCCAAAACGGCATTACTAGGTATTTGTAATGTCCCATTCACATATTAAATGCGGTCATCCACTCGTGCCCTTCCTTAATTTTGACTAGGTTGTAAGCACTTCTGAGGTCGAGCTTAGTGAAGAATCTGGCCCCTTTCAACCTAATGAATAACTCAGAAATAAGGGGAATGGGATAGTCGTTGTTTATCGTTATTCTATTCAAACCCCTATAGTCTATACAAGGGCGTAGGTCTCTTTTTTTAGAGACGAAGAAGAACCCAGCCCCAGCAGGTGAAGATGATCTATGTTTGTGATCCTTTATGTACTCTTCTAAACAAAGATTTGCTTGGGGAGATAGTGCATATACTCCTCCTTTAGGGGGCATAGTGCCTGGTAACAAATTTATGGCACAGTCGCAGGGTCTATGTGGTGGCAATACCTCCGACTGTACCTTGTTGAATACCTCCTTTAAGTCCAAATACTGCAGTGGAATTTCTGTGGTCAAGGGAGGCGCTATAGGTATATTGAGGGTACCGATTTGTTGCACCTGCTTTAAACAAATACCTCTGCATCTCTCACCCCAACTCACAATTTCTCCTTCCACCCATTCTAAACGTGGATTGTGTTTTTGGAGCCAAGGGAAACCCAGTATTATCGGACATGTAGGTGAAGATATAATTTGGAACACCATTTCTTTAGAATGTAAGATACCCACTGACACAGTGATTTGCAGGGTTTTGAATGGGTCTATAGCCTCTACTGCTATGGGTCTATCTTTCTGCCTTAAGGGCAGGAGATGTTTGGCAGAGAATCCCTTGCCTAGAAAATTAACTGCTGCCCCAGAGTCAATCATAGCCTCACACTGTACAGTGGTTTTCTTACAAGACAAAGTCATTTTTATAAGGAAATGGTTCTTATTCAATTTAGGGGACATATACATCACACCTAAGGTCGGTCCCCGAACGTGCCTTAGGTGTGCAAGTTTTCCGGCCGAACCGGACATGGAAACTTTTGATGTCCCCTTTTGCCACAATACAAACACAACTCCTTGTTGTGTCTGTGTTGTCTCTCTGCCTCGGTGAGTTTAGCAATGCCTAGTTGCATGGGTTCAGGTTCTGGAGGTGGAGCATGGCTAATTGCCAATGGGTTAGAGAAACGAGGGGCTATGGATAAGTTAGATTGTCTAGTATGCTGTTTGTTTTCTCTACTCTCTCTCTCTCTCTGAGCCTGTTATCAATGTCTATCATGTATGCAATAAAGTCATTAATGTTAACTGGAAGATATCTGGTTGCTGTCACGTCTTGTATATTTTCCACTAAACCTTCGGAAAAAGCAGCCACCAAACCGCTATTGGTCCAGTCAACCTCAGATGCCAATGTCCTGAACTCTATGGCGTAATCAGCTACAGAGCGGTTGCCTTGTTTTATTCTCATTAGGGCTCTGACAGAGTTCTTTTCTCTCCCTTTTGGCTCAAAAGTAGTTTTGAAAGCTGTTAGGAATACACTGTAATCACAGGCAACTGGATTTCCACTCTCCCATAAGGGATTAGCCCAGGTTAAAGCTGTACCCGGTAATCGGTTCATTAGATAGCCAATTTTTGATCTATCTGTAGGGAATGAACCAGGGGAAGCTTCGAAGTGCATATTCAATTTGGTTTAGAAAACCTCTAAATTCCTTAGAATCACCTCCAAAACGAGGGGGAGGTGAAAGGCTTATGGACGGTGGTTTGTGTGCCACAGGTGCTATTACAGGTGGCAGAGCCACAGGCGGTACCAGAGGTGCCTCCAGATAGGCAGATCTCTGGAGCAAGGTCTGGAATGTTTGGGCAAATTGATCTAACCTGTGGTCCATATCCTCCACCCTACTCTCACAGGCAATCATATGTTTGCATAGTTCCTCAGGATCCATGGCTCTGCCGTAATGTCATGGCTGCTAGTGTGGCCCAACACGCAGAAACTATGTAAACATATACATAAAAAAGGAAAGGAAATAAAAGGACAGAGCATAAACTGGACCTTAGAATGGCCGGACTAATACGCTAGAGATAGAGAATGGTCAAAGGGAAAGCTGAGGTCAAGGAAGCTAGAAATATGCAGATACCGTTGAAACAAGTCAGGGGAACCAGAATTTGGAATAACCAGGGAAAAGCCAAGATCAGGATACCAGGAAGTAATATTCACAAAGATAAACGCACTCTTGGGAACCAGGAACAGGAAACCACGACAGGGCAAGGAACTGGAGTTAATTAGGGATTTAAATATCCCTCTCTGGGCTCTGATTGGTCAGAGGGTGACCTCTGACTCCACAACGTGTGTGTGCGTGGACGTCGTGAAGTCACGTGCATGTCAGTATAAATTTGAGGGGCGGAGCTTGTGGTGTGCGCGACCACGTGGTCAGCGCCATCTTTGATTTGGGCGCAACGCCCAGAAGATGCGGAGGAGCGGTTCCCGGCTCGCCGGCGAGTTCGCAGTATCGGCGAGGTCGTGCTGGTCGGGCATGGCTGTGCCATGCAGCGGGCCGGGAGCCGCAACAGGTTTTCAGTGCAGCGTGATGGTCAACCTCGGTGACCATCAAGGCGGCCATGCGGTTCAGGTCCGCCCCGATGTCATCCTGAGTCACAGGCTCCCTGCAGGAGCATGTGGAGGCCAGGGATATTGGTGCCATTTTGGGCGTGATAACCCCGTGCAAGGAGCCAGCTGTCTTGCTAATGAAGTTGTCCAACGGGCCCGTCTGTGACCCCGGCAGTCTGTTCTTTGGGATCTGTGGGGGGTCTGTTCTCTTATTTCTCCCCATGGGTGTTCGGTATTAGGGTTGAGATACATGTTTTGTAGCTGGGTGGTGTGGAGCTGAGGGATCAAGTAGTCATCATGCTCCGAGCCCAGGACACGCCCTCCCTTATTTAATTTGTATATGTTAAAATGTGTGTGTTATTTAATGTGATTTATACATTTAACGGTCTTAAACAGTATTATTACCTCTGAATTGTTAATTCAAATAGCTGTCTGGAGTTTCCTGCTAGCAGTTTCAGATACACTATGCCATATTAAAATAGTAGAGGAACTTGCAGGGTTATTCAGTAAAGTCTAAATGGCCCCTTACTGAATAGGTCAATACCATTCAGTTATGGACAGGGTAATATAGACAGTGAAATCTGGATATTGTTGATAACATTTAAAAACTATCTGGATTTGGCAATCTTGACTCTGAATGAGCCCCTTCCCTAAATCAGTGGCATACACACAATTCATGGGGCCCCGGTGTGAAACTGATCTGCGCCCCCGACTTGCCGCTCCCTCTTCACCCACTCCCTTACCCTGACAGACACACACACACACACACGCATACATATATACATACATACATACACACGCATACACACACACACACACACACAAGACACATACATACATACATGCAGACAGGCACACACAAGACACATACACACAGACTGGCACACACACACACACACACACACATACAAACAGACAGGCACAGATGCATACAGATAGACAGACACACATACATATACACACACACACACACACACACACACACACACACAAACAGGCACACACATACATAGAAGCACACATGCATACACATACATACGGAAACAGACATACAAAGACACACACATACACACAGACACATACATACAGCCACACAATGCTTAAGTCACCCTCCTGTTTCCTACATTTTAGGTGCAGGGGGGTGACTTTACCTGGGATTCAGTGGTGGCTCAGGTTGATGGGGGTCAGAGTTCCCACTCTGATTCCCTCTGCTTCCTACCGTGTGTTAGCTCATCCCAGGGTGCCCGGTCGCGCTGTTAAGGCGCCACAGCACTGACCGGGCCCCCTGACAACCCATCACCATTGGGGGCTCTAACAGCATAGGCCACCCGATGGACCCCCTTGGACGGCGGCCCCTGCGGTACGCCATGCGGGACAGGGCCGCAAAAGATGGTGGTGGGTACCCGGTTGCAGGGCGGCCGGGCCCACTGTCCCCAAGGCTTCATTCAAAAATATTAATCTAAAAACGGTCTACCCTTTAGATCAGAGTTCTCCAAACTGTGGCCTTCCAGATGTTGCTGAACTCCATTTGAATTATATTTTGAATTAAAAAGATCACCATAGAGTCATGGGAGTTGTAGTTCAGCAACATATGGAAGGGCAGGCTCCAAGCACCACTGATACATAAACCCTAACTAACCCTCTTACCCAAATAAAAGTGAGAAGGCCCCCCAAAAAATAAATCCATCAAATATGACATCACTAATAATAATAATAATAATAATAAAATAAATAAATAAATAAAATAATAATTAATGACCATCTTAGGGCTCTATGCCAACTAAACTGACACTTCAAAGCGGAAATTTGCACACTTTGAAATGTCAGTCAGCACATGTAAGCCAACCCAATCAGAACACTCTGACAGGCAAATTTTGCTTCTCACAGGACTTGCCTAGAAATATTCTCAACGTTTAGAAGATATGTCTGCACCCAGAACGTAGATGTTTACAGCATATGGTAGAATTTCAACCTCCCTATAGTTAGAAGGCATCATATTGACCCCCATAAACGGAGGTATAGGCAGGTGACAGTGTGTCGGGGATTGGATATAGGTCTTATCTATAAACCTCATTCTGCTATATATTCCTGTGTTTATTATTATTTTTCTTAAGTTTATTGTCTTTGTCAAGAGAGGTTTATTACCTTTTCCTTTGCACACAGATCTTAGGTGTGCTGAGAGATAGGCATGCAATTTTGTCTCTGGGATATTGTGTTTAACCTAGGTACAACGAGAGGTTTAGTGAACACCCCCCTTTCTGTTTTTTAATTTTTTATTTTTTTTTTATTTTTTTTTATCCATCTGTATCATTGCTACTCCTTTGTGCAGCCTGTATTATTTATGGGTTGATTACACAGTACATGGCTTATTTATTTAACAGTATATTTGATTTGATATGCATGCTATTCATCAGACATAATATTATATATTATTATTATTATTGTTTTCCTCCTTGGAGAGCTCATCAAATAGGCTTTTTAGTCCACCTTGCTAAAAGTGAAACATACCATTTGTATCTGTATGTATGGGAGGATTAATAAGCACACCTTATCCACGTGTAATAAAGACTATGTTTGTCTTGTTTTATTACTGACAAATCCAATATTGCAATCCCCATCATGTGCCACTGTGGTTTAATAAGATGCCTTTTGTTTATTAAAGAAAAAGAAAATGACACCCCACCTCATAAATAAAATTATGTGCATGAAGAAAATATCAGTTTTATAAGCCACACAAATTCCATTAATTTAGGACCTTAAAAAAAAAAAAAAAAAAAAAACACAACAGTCAATATATGTGTACAACCTCTCTGGCTTGCACTAACATAATTGCAGAGAGGAAACAGAGAGACAAATTGGCAATGTACCCCTAAAATAATCAATAATTAAGTTTAAAATGTAGTGGTTCTTTTAAATTTCATCTCATAGTTTATGAGATCATACTTACTCTTCATCAAGTCCAAAATGCCGTCCAAAAAACATTTCTAAAATGCACTCAATAACTCCTTGAGTCCCTTGGTGAAGATACAATTGGTTTGCCAATAAGGAAAAGCCATGTTTTCTCAGGAACTTCTCTTTCTGCTCTTTGGAGGCCCGGTGGAAATATGCATCTAGCAACTAAGAAGACAAATAGAACACGTTACTTTAATACATTTTTGTATATTAGCTTTCCTTAAACATATTCTGAAATAAAGCAAAAAAAAATAAAAATAAAATAAAATAACATAGTATTTGCAATTTGAAACTGTTTACAGTACTAGTTTCTGAATTTGCAAATTTGAGTGAAAATGGTGGAAGTGTCAATTCAGGGGCAGTGGCGTCTCTAGGATTCATTTTTAGGGGGGGCACATGGTGGGCCAGGGACAAAAGGACATTTAACCCTGCCCTCGCCACAGTTCAACTCCGCCCCTGCCGCATGTTAAGCCCGCCCCAGACACAAATATTTATTTATTTATTTTTAATAATCCCTGGTGGAGAATTTGTTGTTTTCCACCAAGGATTATTAAAAAAACAAAACACATTTTCCTTGATACAGTCCACACACACACACACACACACACACAGACGGCTGAGTCCATACACACACAGACTGCTGACCATACACACACGCACACACACACAGACTGATGAGTCCATACACACACACATACAGAGACTGCTGAATCCACACATGCACACAAATTGCTGAATCCATACACACACACACACAGACAGATTGTTGAATCCATACACACACAGACTGCTGAATACACACACACACACAGACTGCTGAATCCATACACACACACACACACATAGACTGCTGAGTCCAAACATGCACACACACACACACACACACACACACACACAGACTGCTGAGTCCATATACACACACACACACACAGACCGCTGAGTCCATACACACACATACAGAGACTGCTGAATCCATACACACACACACACACAAACACACACAGACTACTGAGTCCATACACAGAGACAAACACAGACTGCTGAGTCCATACACACAGACTGCTGAGTCCACACACACACACAGACAGACAGACTGCTGAGTACATACACACACACACACACACAGATACTGCTGAGTCCAAACACACACACAGTGACTGCTGAGTCCATATAAACACAGACTGCTGAGTCCAAACACACACACACACACACACAGACACTGCACGGTACATACACGGACTGCTGAGTCCACACACACATATACAGACAGACTGCGGGTCCACGCACACACACACACACACACACACACACACAGTGACTGCACAGGTCCATAAACACAGATTGCAGAGTCCAGAACACACACACACACACACACACGCACACAGACTGCTGAATCCATACACACACAGACTGCTGAGTCCACACATGCACCAAATTGCACAGATCCATACACACGCACACAGACCAGATTGCTGAATCCCATAAACACACACACGCAGACTGCTGAATCCATACACACACACACACAGACTGCTGAATCCATACACACACACACACACAGACTGCTGAGTCCAAACACACACACACACACACACACACACACACACACAGACTGCTGAGTCCATACACACACACGCACACACACACGCACCCAGACTGCTGAATCCAAACACACACAGACTGCTGAGTCCATACACACACACACAGACTGCTGAATCCACACACACACACACACACACACACACAGACTGTTGAGTCCATACACACACACTGCTGAGTCCATACACACACAGAGACTGATCAGTCCAAACACACACACAGAGACTGTTGAGTCAACACACACAAACACACAGAGACTGCTGAGTCCACACACACACAGAGACTGCTGAATCCATACACACACACACACACACACACACACACACGCAATTGAATCATACACACACATATACTCCTGGGTCAATACACACACACATACACACACACACACACACAGACTGGCAGGCCAGCACAAGCGCAAACACACACACCAGACTGCTGAGTCCTTACACGCACACACACACACAGAATGCTGAGTCCATACACACACACACACACACACACACAGACTGCTGAGTCCAAACACACACACACACACACACACACACACACACAGATTGTTGAGTCCACACATACACAGACTGCTGAGTCCAAACACACACAAACACACAGACTGCTGAGTCCATACACACACAGACACAGACAGACTGCTGAGTCCACACACACACACACACACACACACACCAACCCTACCTGTCACTGGAGGCTGTTGCTGGGGGTCAGCCAGCCATCTTCTTTCCTTCTGCTGCTGCTTAACACCACAGACAACACCCAGCACCTAAGCCCCCCTCTCCTCCCCTCCTCCCTTTTAATTTCTGGCACATACACACATATAAAAACACTGACACACGGGCCCATTGTTATTATTATTATTATTATTATTATTTATATAGTAACTGCCCATTCCGCAGCACTTTACAATAAATGTGCAACAGAAAGAATAGGTAGTTGAGGATCCTGCTCAAACGAGCTTACAGTCTGACATATGGATACATACTGGCAGATACACACACCTTGGCACACATATACACAAACACTAACACACACGGACACATACATATAAACACATTGACACACAGATACACACACACAGTGAATCAGACACTGCTGAGACACAGATACACAAACTGGCAGATATACACATTGACACAGGTACACACTGACACATATGTTTATATTTGCAGTCACCCTCCTGTCTGCTTATCTTTTTTCTGCAGGAGGGTGACTTCCTTTAGAGCTGCTGGCTGAGGCTTGTGTGCCAGGTCAATCATTTCCCGACTTCCCTGCTGCAACTCACTGTGGGGTGATGCAACCCCTATTTGACTTTTCTTTCACCTTGCTTATTTCACTCACTATAATTCCTGTGCTCTCCTTTCCTACTTCAGATCTCATAGTTTAGATAGATAAGAGGGATATATTATTTTTAAATGTGCTCAACATAAGAGAAGAAAAAGTGAGGGAATGTGGTGACATTCTGTCATCAAACTAATATGGTGACCAGGGGTCATGTGACCAAGCTACAGTGGGATAAGCTTTACCCTTTGAAATGGTAATTGTGTAATACAATACCTTTACAAGTCAGGAGAGAGATAACCACTTCCCCCTTTCTCCATTCCTCTCTGTTCCTTCTTGGCTGTGCTGCAGAGCTTATGTGCAGACGCCATGTGCTAGCACGGTGAACCATGTTACACTCTGTTGCTTCCTTTTCTTCCTTGGTGGATGTGATGTTGAACTTGCAGCAGTGAGCCATTACTAGATGTGAAGGCCTAACCGTGGGTGAGATCAAGCGTGTGGGGAGGGGGATTACTATATAGATAGATTTAAAAAGGGTTGTTGCTCCGTGGGTCTGGGCTGTGTGTTTGTGATACATTTATAGTACTGTGTTGTTGCCATTTAATAAATACCTTTTAATGTAGACGAACCTTGTGTAATATATATATATATATATATATATATTAATTTGGTGATACACCACACTCACTACTCATCGTCCTTCCAAATATCAACATAGCTCCTCTTCAGTCTGTAATGAATGCTGCAACCAGGCTCACCTTTCTGAATGGCCACTATTCAAACATCTAACCACTTTGCCAACTATTACATTGGCTATAACCAGGATCCAATTCAAACAGCTAACTCTAACCTACAAAGCCCTCACTAACTTCACTCCTCATTATACTTCCTCTTTAATCAACAAACATGCTCCTTTTCATTCCCTTTGCTTTGCAAATGATTTTCTCGGGACATCTGCTCGTTTCCACATTGCAAGCTCTCATCTGCAAGATGTTTTTTCAGTTGTCCCATTATTTTGGAATTCACTACCCCATGCCATCAGACACTCTCTTGGTCTCCAGTCCTTTAAGAAGTCAATGAAAAAACAACTCTTCATGAAAGCTTACCATCTTCCTGGATGACACTTCTCTCATTTTACTGCCCTTATCAGTTCCCCCATCACTTTAGCCCAGCTCACTATCTCTTGCCACTGTTCAGTTCTTCCACACACCATTTTGACTAGCTTATTTTGACACAGGTAATATTACTCATCAATCCCCATGCCCTCTGACATGCTGTTTATCTGATGTGTCTTTACCCAATACTTATAGATTGTAAGCTCTCTGAGCAGGACCTTCTGTGTGTACTTGAGGAATATGTTGGCACTATATAAATGATAATGTTGGATGTAGTCTAGAAACCAGAAGTGTAGACAAACTGTGAAGGTAGGCAACTTGTTTATGAGAACAGACCGCACAAACACATACTCTAATTCTAACAATTTGCTGTCTCTTGCTTGCATGGGTTTGCATATTGTTAAGAATAAAAACAAAAGTTGTGACACTCATTAGCAATATTGCAGCTTTATTTCCCATTTGCAGGCAACATTATATAAATAGGTTTGGAAATAAAATATAAATGCTTAGAGTTAGAATAATAATCACATTGGTAAAATATCAACAAATTAACCTAGGTTTAGTTTAAATAATAATGATAAACTCTTACTTTGATCACACCTTGCTGTATCAGAGGGGATGGATGGTTAACCAAAACTATCAAGATATCAGGGTGAACAACATTGTCCATGACATCTCCGAGCATAAGATCTGGCATGGTAAGGAGAACACCGCGTAAAAGATTGTAAAGCCCACAACATACAAGTATAATGCAATCCTCCATTGATCTAGAAAACACAGAAGACATTTTTTGCACATTAGTAATTGTGAGAACGTTAAGGAGATAAAGTAAAACAAAATGAAAATGTGCAAGTATTGTTTGTCACTGTAAAACACAAACAGGCCTTAAAAGTGTTATTTTTTTATTTTTTTTTGTATTGATATCTTTAAAGGGACCCAATAGTCACCAAACCAACTTTAGCTTAAAGAAACACTATAAGGTCAGGAATACAAACATGTATGCTTGACCCTATAGTGTTGAAAACACATATAGGATCCATGCCCCCCTCTTGCTCCCCTTAAAAAAAAAGTTTTTCCAGCGCCACGTGTGGCTGCCGGCACTGACCCTGCCCCCGATCCGCCTTCTTGGCTGACATCAGAATCCATATGTGCAAATAGACCAAATAGTCGAAAAACTGTATATTGTAAATTGCCGGTTCTGCTGCACGGAGGGATAATCCACTTAACGGTACATTCCAGTGGGAGGATCCCTCTCGTGCAGCAGTGCCTGATGGGGGAAAGGCTCTGTAATGTAAGTTCCCCACGTAGTCCACTCTGGTAATGCCCCTGGGATGTGACTCAGGAAACCCCTTGCATGGGGAATTGTATAAATTGTGGAGCTGAAAATAAAGACCTCAGTTGACTCTCAGAACTGTGTTTCGTCCGGTTACTGGGAGATTTGGGATATTGCCTTGCTTTTTCCAGCGCTTGACTGTGGATTACTTCCTGAACCAGCGGAATTCGTGGATTTAATATTGGCGTTCCGCTACAATTGGTGGCAAGCGACGGGATCCAACTCTACAGCCGAAACAGCGCATTTGAATGAAAGAAACAACTGAACGGAAAAAGGGAATGGCAATTCGTATGCAGCAAACAGACGAAAGAGTTCAGTGAATGGAGACTGATTACACTATGTTGAAAAGGCAGACGCTTAAGGAACTGCTGGAAGCGAGAGGAAAGAGCACCAGCAATAAATCTAAAGCCGTGCTGATCGCTGAACTGATGGAGGGCGACCGAGCTCACAACAGCACACCCCCACCTGCCAGGGAAGAAACCCCATACCAAAGGGAGCGAGAACCCGTCTGGAATTTTTACCCCAGCCAGTACCCCTGGATATCCTGACGGTCCTGATGGCTGACGTGCAGGAATATATGATGGCACAACACCACCAAGGAGCGCCATCCAGGGCAGAATCCATTACTGCCTCCATCTGCGGTCAGGTAAAACCGAAAATACCGTATCATGCATTCAAAGCGTTCTGTGAGGAGAAGGACGAAATTGATGGATACTTACAGGACTTTGAGCGGCTGTGTGACCTGCACGACCTAGAGCAGGCAGTATGGGTGCCCCTGCTAGCGGGAAAGTAGGCAGGGCGGGCAGCAGAGGCTTATCGCGCTGTCCCCAGGGAGGACAGTAAAGACTATTTTAAAGTAAAAAGGGCTATACTGGAGAGGTATGCCATCACGCCCGAAGCGTATCGATGCAAATTTCGTGGATTACGCAAACCCGAGAAGGATTCCCACGCAGAATGGGCGCACAAGTTGGACCAAGCCTCGCAGGGGTGGATTCAGGCAAGCCAAGTCACCACCATGGAGGAACTGCGCCAACTTATGCTATTAGAACAATTTGTTAATGGACTATCCCCAGAAGCGCAAGAATGGGTGAGGGACCGCAAACCTCTCACCCTACCGGAAGCCGCTAGATTGGCGATCCCCTCCGCACCAGTTAACTCCACTCCGTTTAGGCCAGCACAAGGGAACCCGCCACCCTCCTCTCGCTACAATGGCAGATCAAATATTCAGTGCCATACCTGCCAGCAGTGGGGGCATATGTCCCGAGAGTGCACCCAGAACTGGAGCAGACAAGCGTGGAACCAAGTGAGGCAGAACACCACCCCAAGGGCAGCGGCACATCACTACCAGGTGGAACCTGACACCCAAGAGTTGCTGAGTCTTCAGACCGAGGAACCCCTGGGCGTTTTATATGAAGTGATGTCCGTCCAAGCCACCGACAACCGGCAGCATCATCGCCAAGTTGTGTTTGTGGTGGGGAAAGAAGTACAGGGACTACGGGACTCGGGAGCTACCTTGACCCTGGTGGCCCCTCATTTGGTACCAGATACCGCGCACACTGGCGGGTCTGTGGCAGTCCGGGTGGCGGGGGGAGCCATGTACCGCCTACCCACTGAGAAGGTACATTTGAACTGGGGTGCTGGGGAGGGAGTTGTGGAAGTGGCTATTATGAAAAAATTACCCGCGGATGTCGTATTGGGGAATGACTTGGGCCGAATGACGTCTGCATTTGTACCTCAGGCCCCTCTGCAAGAGGCGCATCCTGTGACTACTCGACAACAGGCTTGCACCATGGTTCCACCAACACACTCTGAGGCTAGTGGTAAGAGACCGTGACTCACCCCTGACCCATATGACCTGGGACACCCCGACCGCCTTTGAAGCCAGGGTCCAGACAGACCCCACGTTACAGGTATACAGGAATAGAGTAAGTACTGATCAGGCCAGGCTAGAGGTGGAGCGGTACATTTGGGAGAAAAAGCTATTGTACAGGATAGCCGAGAGGGTGATAGGGGGCTCTGTCACAGTGAAGACCAAGCAGTTGGTAGTTCCCCAAAAATATAGACCGGAGCTGTTGAGTATAGCTCACGATTTTCCTCTCTCTGGCCATTTAGGTATGACCCGTACCCGGTACCGGCTGACACACGCCTTTTTCTGGCTGGGAATTTCCAAGGACGTGAGGCACTACTGTACCTCCTGTGACGTGTGTCAGCGAGTAGGTAAGAGGGGGGACAGCCACAAAGCGAAACTGTGCCCCCTTCCCATCATTGAGGAACCTTTTAGCCTTGTGGCCGTAGACATAGTGGGGCCGCTACCTAAGCCTAGTCCCTCTGGGAAGCGGTATATCCTAACCGTGGTGAAAATATTTGCAAAAAAGGTGGAATGTATGCTAAAAAGGGGGGTATGTATAATGACACAACCAAAACCATAAACATGCTGACTGCTGGAATCCATATACAACCAACTTAGTATTTGTAAAAAGTAGACAAAAAAAACCCCCCAAAACATTGATTAAAAATCATTTAAAGGAACACTATAGTCACCTACATTACTTTAGCTAAATAAAGCAGTTTTAGTGTATAGATCATTCCCCTGCAATTTCACTGCTCAATTCACTGTCATGTAGGAGTTAAATCACTTTGTTTCTGTTTATGCAGCCCTAGCCACACCTCCCCGGCTATGACCGACAGAGCCTGCATTAAAAAAAAACAAAAAGTGGTTTCACTTTCAAACATATGTAATTTACCTTAAATAATTGTATCTCAATCTCTAAATTGAACTTTAATCACATACAGGAGGCTCTTGCAGGGTCTAGCACGCTATTATCATAGCAGGGGATAAGAAAATCTTAATTAAACAGAACTTGCAATAAAGAAAGCCTAAATAGGGCTCTCTTTACAGGAAGTGTTTATGGAAGGCTGTGCAAGTCACATGCAGGGAGGTGTGATTTTGGTTCATAAACAAAGGGATTTAACTCCTAAATGGCAGAGAATTGAGCAGTGAGGTACCAAAACTGCTTCATTAAGCTAAAGTTGTTCAGGTGACTATAGTGTCCCTTTAAGCAATGCAGAAATAATATGCGTTAGAAATACATGTTCTGTTCTGGATACAGTTTACGTTACAGTAAAGAAAATATCAACATGTCAATCAGTGATCCAAGTTACAGTATAATTTGTAATGGCAAACTAGTAAAATAAAAATAATACCTTTCTTCCACACTGTCATATCTACTTTGTGCAAGGTTAAAAAGTGGGGAGAAATTCAAGTTATCCCATTCGTCAGAATCTTTTTTCTCTGGAATAGTTGTCCAACATGTTGTAGCTGGAGGAAAAGCTAGACCTAAGCTTGTCATATTGCTTTGACCTTTCTTGAGAGAGTAAACACCTTTCAAATGATCAGGGCGTTGCAATGCAACTTCATCTATAGCACTTTCATGAGTGAATTTATGAACTGTGACATCCTCTTTGTTTTCAAAATGGAACATGGGGGCTTCGATATCTTCAGACAAAGAATGGACTGTGATATTAGCTGGGGAAATCTCAGATTCACAAACTGTTTTTGCAGATTCACAACTGCTCATGTATTGCTCCTCTCTCCTTTTTAGAGTGTCTGTACTCCCTTCAGAACAGCTCACTTTTGTTTGACTCTCAAAGTAATTTTTAGGAGTCATTTTTAAGTCTTCATTACTCCTACCTAAACTTCCACCTAATCTTTTTGGAGGTATTTTAGGCGAAGTGGCAGGAGAGGCTGGAAGACTTCTAGAACGAGTTTTCTGTACTACAGAGAGATATCCATGTTGTTGGGAAGAAAACACTGAGACATCACTCCCTAAAAAAAAAAAAAAAACATTAAGTATAAAATTAAGAAATAGAAATATTAGAAATTAGAAATATTAGAGGTAGTATGAAAAAAATCGGATAGCAAACGTAATTTGCTCTTCAACTAAGTAACAGCAAAGTACTTAACTAATAGGTTTACAGTTTCTCCAAAGGCTTATTGCATTCAAGAACCAGCTAACCAGGAGTGCAGCCAATCAATAGTATTAAGCCCTCATTGGATATCAGGTTTATTGTATACATTTACAGACTTTCAACTGTTTTGCAATGAACAAATCAAAAAAAAGCAATTGAAGTAACTCAGCACAATGCATGCTTCAAGTGGTTTCCCCAAATTCAACTTATAATGACTTCCCCAGTCTCAAAATTATTCAGCCCCTATATGGCAATCATACTTAGTAGAGCACCTGTTTGCTTCCCTAAAGATAACAAGGAAATCCATAAGGAAGAGCATATTTGGGGGTTTGATTTCGGAACACTCATTGCCAAGTAATACCACTTTCATAATTATACTAGTTGGAGTTGGGGGGGCCGGGTACTTACTGACTATTGGCAACATTCTAAAATTGTTATGAGATCAGCTGCTGGGAGCAGCACAGGCCTAATTATTCTTAATTTTGAGTTATCCAACTCTGTCCTTTAATAATTGGGGGTCTAGTTTCTATTCTCCATAAATTTGGAGATTTGTAACTATCCACAAACCCCTTCAGCGGTTCACCTCCCAAAATGTTTAATTCCCTTATTCTCAATCCAATTGTTGGAATTTGATGAGTATAGGGACTGACTCCTGTTTTAGACGTCCTAGACATCTTCAAAGTTCTAATATGCAATAGATTTTTAATCGTATTTTTACTTTTACATTGTTTATGATCTTGTGGCTTTTGCATTAAGACAAGAGCCCCAGATGACACACTTAATAATATGTAGCTTTCTAACATGAACACATTGAACATAATCTCATATAATGTTAAGGGCCCTAACTCTCTAGAGAAAAAGTTTGACACTAAGGAACTGTGCGAAAATGAAAGCTTACACAATTTTTGTCCAGGAAACACATCTTTGGGATCCCAGTGCAAATTATACCACAAACAATTTCCCCTTGTCTATTACAACAAATATGACCAAAGCAAATCCAGAGCTATAGCTATACTTATAAACGCTCTAGTGACATTCACATACAAACAGGATACAGGACCGGAGCAAGAATTTTTGCCACCCTAGGCAAAAAAAAACAAACAAAAAAAAACAATTGATGTCCCATTTGCTCCACCCACTCATGCAGACTGACATGCACTGATCTATGCAGACTGACGCACAGATTTCCGAAGACTAACATGCACTGATGAATGCAGACTGACGCGCACACACACCCTGACCCATGCAGACACACACGCTGATACATGCAAACACGAACTGACCCATACTGCCGACACACACTAGCCCATACAGACACACACTGACCCATACAGACTGACATACACAAATTCTAGACAAACACACATTCTCCATTGACCAGCTCACCTTTCATAATATTTGACTGCTTGTCACGTGTTCCTGGCTGCTTACCTGCACCTGGCCGTCTTAACTGCATGTGAACCCTGCACCATGCTATGCTCCCGCCCACTTGTCCCCACGTACAGGGCAAGGGGCGGGAGAGAGAGGAATTGAAGCACTCTCACGCTGTTACGGAAATGGGAGTACTTCTGGGGGGGCCTAGCTGAGCAGGCTGAAGTGGATGCCGCCGGACCAGTGTTACACCGGGCACTAGTCAGCAGACATGTAACTGGCCCTAGCGCTGGCAACATGGATGGCAACACAATTTGTAGAATTATTAAAACATAGAGGGAAGGCCAAACGAGCAGAGCAGTAAAGCTCCTGCCGGCACCCCCCTTTAAGCAGCGCTCTAGGCGGTCGCCTAGTTGGCCTATAGGACTTGCCGGCCCTGACAGCATATTGCCGACACTTCAGGGAGATTCCTGATTCTTAAAGTTCTAATAGGGGCGACTCCAATTACCCTGGTTAACACATACTTAGAGAATGAAAACTAATGGCGCTGCCTTGAGGCGCATTTTGTCCAAGGTGCATAAACATGTTTCTGGGGAGGGACTTTAACTTCTCCCTAGGTAGGGGGTAAGACAGCACTGTTAAACTCATCTCATCTCCTTTATAAACATCAACTGACTGTTACAGTATTGACAGGAAGAGCCCAGATAGCAGTAATAAACCAAAAGCAAGGTAGCCAAGATAAGGGCAGGCAGCAGAAGATCGTAAAAAAAGCAACAGGCAAATAGGTTAAATATCTGTGAGAAAATCAAAAATCACTGAAACACACACACTGAGCACAGTATAGCTCAGCCCTGAGGACATATTCAGATATGGTTATATAGGGGAGAGGGCCATACCTCAAACTCTCCTAATTATTCAGCTCTCTGTCCCTTTAAGAGGCTGTCCTTTGACCACGCGTCTATTACTTTAATGTTGTGTGGGGTCTCCTTTCCCCATTGCAGGTGCTGCTCCCCGTTACATTAGTTTGCTGGCACTTTTATTTATGGAGAAACCGCCTGCCCTCCGTCCTTGGTGGTGAACACGCTAAAGGATCCGGCTTGCGTCAAAGGGAAACGACGTTGGATGAGGAGTGAAGCGCGGTGAAGGAACTCTAAGTGAGTGAGATGGGGTCCTGATACTGGTGGATTGCTAGGTAATCCACAATCCATCTATGGAAGATTGGATATTTCCATTAAAATGCACCTCCCAGGGGACGTGGCTAAGCACGAGAGCAGCATGTACGAAGGCCTGTGAAATCCAGTAGCTTTGCGGGATAACAAGTTGCAAAGAACTGGTCTACAGAGCAGATTTAAATCACACACTGGTAAGAGGAAAGCTGCAAGATGTTGCAGATTTAGAAATCAAAAGCCCTCTACCATAACAGATTGGGGCAGACTACAGTATACAGACCAATGGGACACAGCCTTGGGGGAGGTACTTGAGGGCATAGACTGGCAGGACATCTGCCTATGCAACAGATGGCTATGCATCTGACTATGCAAGAGCAGGCATCCAAAATGATGTACAGATGGTACACCACCCTATTCAAGCTTAGTCACATGAGAAAAGTCCCTACAGACCTCTGTTGGAGGCTATGTGGGTTGCAAGGCACATACGAAAACATGTGTTGGGAGTGCACACAGTTAAAAACACTATGGGGGAGGGTGGGGGTCCTTGTCGCAGACATCTTCCATAAACCAGTCACACTAGACACCTGGGTCTTCCTGTTGTCTAGACAGGTTGACGGGTGGACCGGCCCAGAGCAGAACAGAAACTACTCCATTTGATCACTCTAGCGGCCCAAAGAGCCTTAGCGCAGACATGGGTGCACCCAGAAGTCTCATCCATAGATTTAGTAATGCCAAAACTTAAGGACAACTATCTGATGGAGAAGCTTACAGCCCATGTCAGAGGGACTATGAAAGCCTTTACGAAGGTGTGGGAACCTTGGGAGATCTACACTAACTGCTCTTAGTGGAGACGTAACCAAAGAGGCCAGGAGATGTGGGAACCATGAAAATGAGCAATCATAGGGTTTAAGCCGTCCTTGTCCCATGCCAAAACTTTTTCTTCCTTCCCTCTCCTTTTCCGTCTCATCTTTGTTTTTCCTCTTTCGCTCGAGCCCACTGGTTGGACTCCAGAAAGGAAGACTTCCTCAGTGGGTGACTAGTCCCCTGGGAGGAAGAAGGCAGCAGCATGTTCCAGCCTTTTCGCAAATCGATGGTGGATGGTGATATGAGAGGTGGGCCCCTGTTTTCTAAAGTGTTGGTAATGCAGTCTACATTATCAATTTATCTGGCACTATGCACATATGTTACGGTATGACACGACACACACGCCTGTCCCCCTGTACTATGTAAATGTATGCATGGTAGATTGGGCCAAGGCTGGTATACAGTAGCATTTTGGCCACACGTAAGCACATGATGAGGGGACAAAAAGAGGGCCGACACAGGAGTGGACCTCTGTCAGGTTCACAGCTTATAGCCCAGAAATGAGCCCTGGACGGGGATCGGCGGGGGCTCTTTGTCACCCCTGGTATGACAACTGTATTGGTGCACACCTATCACTGTTTAAATGTCGATTACATAGTAACATAGGCTGAAAAGAGACATTATTATTGTTATATTATTATTATTATTATTATTATTATATTTATATAGTGCCAACACATTCTGTAGCGCTTTACAATGGGTGGACTAATAAACATAGAATTGTAACCAGACAAGTTTGACACACAGAAACAGAGGGGTCGAGGGCCCTGCTCAATCAGCTTACATGCTAGAGGGAGTGGGGTAAAGTGACACAAAAGGTAAGGGAAATATTAGGGAAGCAGATTGATAGAGTAGTATTCAATGAAGACTATGTGGGGTTTTTTTGGAGCCATTAACAGTTTAATTGACAGGCTTTTGTGAAAAAGTGAGTATTTAATGATTTTTTTAAAGAAGTAAAGACTGGATGAGCATCTAACGGAAAAGGGAAGTGAGTTTCACAGGAATGGTGCAGCCCTAGAGAAGTCTTGGATACAAGCATCAGAGGTGGGACTATGGACAGAGGATAGACGCAGGTTTTCAGCAGAGTGTAGGGGCCTAGACGGGACAGTCTTGTGTATTAGGGAGGATAGACAGGTGGGTGTTGCATTAAGTAGAGATTTGAAAGCAAGAACCATAATGTTATATTGAGCCCTGTATCCCACGGGAAGCCAATGCAGGGACTAACAGAGGGGTGAAGCGAGGGGCGAGGCAAGTGAGGGACGGGGAGAGATCAGGAGAGGACAGGTAGATTTGCTTGTCATCTGCATAGAAGTGATATTGGAAGCCAAAGGACCTGATGAGTTTACCAAGGGAGTCAGTATATACCGAGAACAGTAAGGGACCAAGGACTGAAGAGAGGTTGTGAGGAAGAGGCATAGCCAGAGAAAAAAAAAAATGCTAAAAGAGTCCTGGGTGAGGTGGGAGCAGCACCAGGAGAGAGCAATA